AGGAGCTTGAAAGGTGAGCAGAGTAGCTCACTTGCAGGAAGCCAGTGGAGGTGATCTATGCTCTGAACTCTGCAAAAGGAGCACTGTAGGAGGCCCATCTGCCAGAGCTCCTGTCTGCTGATGGTCTGCCCAACTTGCTGAAGGAAAAGGACTAGATATTTGCAAAGTTTAAGACTTCTTCGATTTATTTTGTTTTACATGTCTTTGCTGTTTCTTGTTGCATGGAACTCCAGAGTGCAGGACTCAGTGACCTACCTTTGGACACTACACTGGAACCCGGAGAAGAGGGCAGGTTCAGGTTCCCCTACCCACCCCCATTGGTCTGGAGACAAAAAGTCTCTCCCCCATACTAGAGACTGAGGACCAGAATACCCCACATTCTAGAGAGTCCCGCCTCTGGGAATTTGGCCATGTGAAGCCCCTTGTTGGTCATCAGAACGAGCGTTTTTTGGATTCTTTACATACCCCGGAAGAGATGGACACAGCTTGTGGCCCAGCTAGTAGAGGTCTGAGTCTCCGAGGGGCCAGATGACTGCAGGGCTGGAGCAACTATCAAGAGTGGGACTCCAAGACAGAAGAGCGCCTGTAGTGCCTGATCGTTAGGCAGCACCTATGGGGGAGCAGAGCCTTTCACACTAGTTAACATGAAAAATACATTTGCTCTTTCATTAACAGGTCTGTTCCATACCAACATTCCTGGAAGTGCATCGATTGCTTTGGTGTGCTATGGTGAATTCAAGTTGAATTTTTGTTCTGTTTACTTCATGGGCAATTCCAGTTCCCATCGTTATCCACTGGTTAAGGGAAAAATGTGAAATATGGTTTCTCCTCAGATTTCCTCTTCCTTTTGAAGTAGCATGAAATTTGGAATATTAATGATATGCATTATAAGAGAGGAAATAATGTCTTGGATTATGTTACTACTGCTTAGGGTTTTTCTATACAGGTACTTAAATGGTTTCCATCACCATACATAGCTGAGCAGCTGTCAGGTATTTAAGTATCAAAATATATAATCTTGCTTCAGTTTCAAATATTTGTTTTCTTCACTTGCTTGTTGAATATGTGCATGCTTCTGTAGGGCAGAGTACCATTCTGTATAGACACTTAGTGATCCTCAGCCCTGGTCTACACTAGGACTTCAGGTCGAATTTAGCAGCGTTAAGTCAATGTAAACCTGCACCCGTCCACACGATGAAGCCCTTTTTTCCGACTTAAAGGGCTCTTAAAATCGATTTCCTTACTCCATCCCTGACAAGTGGATTAGCGCTTAAATCGGCCTTGCCGGGTCGAATTTGGGGTACTGTGGACACAATTTGACAGTATTGGCCTCCGGGAGCTATCCCAGAGTGCTCCATTGTGACCGCTCTGGACAGCACTCTCAACTCAGATGCACTGGCCAGGTAGACAGGAAAAGAACCGCGAACTTTTGAATCTCATTTCCTGTTTGGCCAGCGTGGCAAGCTGCAGGTGACCATGCAGAGCTCATCAGCAGAGGGAACGGGGGCCTGACGATATGTACCCAGAACCACCCGCGACAATGTTTTAGCCCCATCAGGCATTGGGAACTCAACCCAGAATTCCAATGGGCAGCGGAGACTGCGGAAACTGTGGGATAGCTACCCACAGTGCAACACTCCGGAAGTCGACGCTTGCCTCGGTACTGTGGAAGCACTCCGCCGAGTTAATGCACTTAATGCACTTAGAGCATTTTCTGTGGGGGGACACACACTCGAATATATAAAAATGATTTCTAAAAAACCGACTTCTATAAATTCGACCTAATTTCGTAGTGTAGACATACCCTCAGTCATTTCTGCCACTAGGTCTATTAAAACTGCTAACAAATGTGGTGAATGGTCAGTTTGGATGAGCTATTACCAGCAGGAGAGTGAGTTTGTGTGTGTATGGGGGTGGGAGGGATGTGAGAAAACCTGGATTTGTGCAGGAAATAATCAAGTTGGGCTATCATGCACATTGTGTAAAGAGTTGTCACTTTGGATGGGCTATCACCAGCAGGAGAGTGAATTTGTGTGTGGGGGGGTGGAGGGTGAGAAAACCTGGATTTGTGCTGGAAATGGCCCAACCTGATGATCACTTTAGATAAGCTATTACCAGCAGGACAGTGGGGTGGGAGGAGGTATTGTTTCATATTCTCTGTGTATATATAAAGTCTGCTGCAGTTTCCACGGTATGCATCCGATGAAGTGAGCTGTAGCTCACGAAAGCTCATGCTCAAATAAATTGGTTAGTCTCTAAGGTGCCACAAGTACTCCTTTTCTTTTTGCGAATACAGACTAACACGGCTGTTACTCTGAAACCTGTGAATGGGTAGACTGCATACCAAGTGGCAAAGGGTATGTCTACACTGCAATGAAGAACCCTCAGCTGGCCCATGCCAGCTGACTCAGGCTCATGGGGCTGTTTCATTGCACTATAGGCTTCCAGGCTTGGGCTGGAGCCTGGGCTCTAGAACCCTCCCACCTGGTAGGGTCCTCAATCCTGAGCTCCAGCCCGAGACCAGAAGTCTACACAGCAAAGAAACAGCCCTGTAGTCCGTGCCCCATGAGCCCAAATCAACTGGCAGTGCCAGCCACGGATGTCTAGTTTCTGTGTAGACCCACCCCTAGTGCACATAAAGCTTTATAACAGGTAGAATGTTACAAAGAATGGAATCCCTTGCCCTGGGGAGCTTTTAGTCTAAAATCATGAGTGTACAATTCAAATCAGAACAAACACCGTGGTGGTTGATCGTTCTAGCTGGAAAGCTTTGCAGAAAAGATGTATTTCCAGGAACATTATGAAGCAGGAAAGAAGAGTGCTTAGGGACATGAGTTAGTTGACATGCAGTTCCAAGTGAAAGGAACAGCATGTAAGAAGACAAAGAGACAAAGGAGTAGTTAATGGGTGGAAAGTAGGCAGCTGGAAGGGGGAGTGTAAGAGCTCATCAAGGAAGTGATGTTGGCAGGAAAGGAGTTGTGAAACATGTGATTGCTTTTTCCCCCGATTAAGGCACTATCTGTGCTAAAATATAACAATTGAGGGACCCAGTTACAATAGTGAAAGTAATACCGTAGACAGGACTGAAACCCATACGTGGGGTAACACTTCAGCAATACAGATTTCCTGCGTAGTGGTACGTTGCAACTTTTCATCCTTGTCAGGGCAGGGACAGTCATGTCATATGGAGGCTCCCTGGCCTTTTTTTTTTTTTTTTTATAGTGTGGATGGTGCTATAAAGAGATGGGTAGAGTGACAAAAAACTATACTGTTTGATTGGCATTTTGGATGGGTTGGAAGGAGAAGAGGAAGGTAAGGGGAGGCCTGAAAACAGGAAGTTTTACTAGTTAAGGTGGGAAATAATTTGTCCATACTCTGGTTCTAGCAGTGGGAGGAGAGTCCGACTCATAGACGTTACGGTCAGAAGGGACCACGTGATCATCTAATCTGGCCTCCTGCACATCGCAGGCCACAGAACCTCACCCACTCACTCCTGTAATAGACCCCTAGCCTCTGGCTGAGTTACTGAAGTCCTCAAATCGTGGGTTAAAGACTTCAAGTTACAGAGAATCCACCATTTACACTAGTTTAAACTCGCAAGTGACCCATGCAGCAGAGGAAGGCAAAAAACAAAACAAAACCTCAGGATCTCTGCCAATCTGACCCGGGGATAATTCTTTCCCGACCTCAAATGTAGCGATCACTTAGACCCTGAGCATGTGGGCAAGACCCACCAGGCAGATACCTGGGAAAGAATTTTCTGTAGTAACTCAGAGCCCTCTCCTTCTAGTGTCCCATTGCCAGCAGTTGGGGATTTTTGCTACTGGCTGTCACCAATAGGCCACATGCCATTGTAGACAGTCCCATCATACCATTTCCTCCATAAACTTATCAGGCTCAGTCTTGAAGCCAGTTAGGTTTTTTATCCCCACTGCTCCCCTTGGAAGGCTGTTCTGGAACTGTCTTTGGTTATAAGATAGAATGAAAGGCCTGAATGCAGTGGGGATGGAAAGGAGGCATCAGAGATTGACAGCAGTTTGACTAGTTGATGGTCACAAGAAGGATGCATGTTAGCAACATTGGTGTGATGGAAAGAGTTTTGAGTGGGAAGCAACTCAGTTTGGGTTGTGTTGCAGTTGAATTAACAAGAAGATGTCAGAGTTGGAGATGTGAGGCAAGACAGAGGATGATAAATTGGTGGATAAATCCTTAAGAGGAAGAGGAGCATGTTTGCAAATATCAGTAGTGCTCAGAGCAAACAGCCTTTTTAAATTTTAAACAATTCTCTTAAGTCTCAACTGTGTGGTGCTTTTGGTTATTCTACGTGGGCTTAAACTGGAGCTTGAAGGATCAGCACAGTACCACCCAGAATCCTTGCTGTTCATATTTTGTTTTCATATGTACAATATTTTGCTTTTTTAAAGAGAGTCATTCTCCTATATGTGTGTCACTTACAGTTTCTGAACTGAATTTAGAGTTCCTTGTCTTTGAGAGAAGAGCAAATTACAAGCAAAGTACTCTTGGCATTTAATTGCCTGCCCTTCTTCTATTCACTCTTTTCTGGATGCAACAAAGGTACAACCTCCTTCCAGATTACGTGAGTCCTTAGAGCAAGTGAGGCTGTCATGACATTTTGTAATGCATTATAAGACATTAAGTAAACTATTAATGAATGTCTTCCAACACTGTTCCTTTGAAGGTTCATTTAACTAATTCAATATCAGGGCAGCATCAGCATGTGCCTGGTTATCTTCCTGTCTGTATATAGTTTTCCAACTTTGCCAATAAATTTTTTTAAAAAGCCTTTGGTCAATTCCGATAGAGAAAATTTTCCTCAACTAAAAGGCCTGAATGGCGTGCCTCAGGTTAAACTGGGCCACTGCCACTTGAAAAATGGAGCCCTTAAATTCCTTAGTTTTGAAGACCAAGGAAATAGAAAGATGATTCACTGTACTTAAAATAACTCTTGTTACCAAATACTGTCTTTTGATTTCTTCTAGATCCTAATTATCTCATGGCTAATGAACGCATGAACCTGATGAATATGGCTAAACTGAGTATAAAGGGGTTGATTGAATCAGCACTTAATCTGGGCAGAACACTGGACTCTGACTATGCACCTCTTCAGCAGTTCTTTGTAGTGATGGAACACTGCCTTAAACATGGCTTGAAAGGTAAGAATGTTACTCTAAATGCCTACCTGACTTCTCCTGTGTTGTGTATAGGGGATATGAATGCCAAGGATAGTCATTTTCAAAATCTAACTTTTTAATTGTAGGTACCAAATCAGACTAAATAAGACCGATACTATATTCCTACATTTTTCTTCAGTAAGCTTGTAAAATGATGTACCAGTTTTATAGGTAAATAACAGTACAGTCCCTTTGGAATTATACATTGCATCCTATGTGATAAATTAATCAGTCATGATTGATAATGTTATGGTGAATGCCAAAGGCATTCATTCCCATCAGCTATTTATTCTAGTAATAATAATGAAAAAATTGATCCTTAAGAAGCATAAGGACTGATGTCCTACAAAGACATGGTGTAAATGAAAATGACTTCAGAATATCATGTATTATGGTGTTTTGATATGTATATGGAGTCCTTGTAGTACATAAAATAAAATGGACTGCTTCTCCAGCATACCTGGGATATACTCAGCCACAAGGGGGACAAGAATTCTTAGGTGCCTTTACACTATCTTTTTGCCCCTCTGAACCTGGGTACTGCCAGGGCTGAGCCAATCCCCATTGCAAGTTTGAGTAGCTTCAAGACTGCTCTAACTGATGCCAGTGAATGCCCATTCCCAAGGGACTGTTCTGCCAATCAGGATTGCTCAAGTGCATTGTGCTCCAGACTACCCACCGTGCCAGCAGGGCCAGAAACGGCTGATGTTGGACTGGCTACATCATCCCATGGTTAGGAGAATCCTCAGCTGCTGTTGCAAGGCAGCTTTAAAGTCCTCTTGTCCCTGCTGAAGTGCTGAGGATCTGACACAGTAGATTCCAGCACCTGATAAAAGAATACATTTTTTTCCTGCACCAAGCCAAAGAATTTGTGCCGTGCTCCTCAAAGGAACCAACACGGATGTGTTATATTATGTGGTATATGTAGGTCTTTTTTTCTTAACGTTAAGGAAACAGTTGGACTGGTGATGTATTTTTCAAGCCACTGTTTAAATTTACTTTTTCCAAAACCTAAATCCCAAATCTTCGAAGGTGTGTACGCAATTTTGTGTGTGCCAGACTTGCATAGTGGAACAACATTGTGCGTGCATACAAGTATAGATGTGCACAAATCCAAAATTACATGCCCAGTTGGCAGTTTGGCTTTAAAAGCCAACATTATGAACTACCAGCACACTGTGGTGTTCTAAGTGAGCACTTTAAGTACATTACATGAGTTGAATGATCATTTGATTAAAAAAAAACTTAGCTAAAATGACCCCAACAGAAAAGACTTAAGAATTCTGAAAATAGATAGGAGAGGGATTTTGGCTTCCCTTTCATGGAGGGAGTTGCACAGAAAAGACCGTAACACTGGGAGGCCTAGCGTCTGGTCCGGTTTAAATATAATCTTGGAACGATGAACAGAGTCAGTCCATTTGATTTCATTTGACCTGTGATGTCATAAATTGCAAAAAAAAATCTGCTCATGGGCATAATCATGTGTAAGGAGTGTGGAGGGTTGTCTTTCACGGATTCTTGTAATTTTTAAACCGATTTTGTTCAATGTGCAGTTGACTGTTGCTGAATGATTGGTGAGAAAATGACTTCCTCAGGGAACTTATGATTCCCTAACTTTCTGTTCCTCCTCATGCATTAGAAATGTAGTGTTGTTCCTCTTGCTTACTGTAGCACTATGAGCTTTTCTCGTTAGTTTTGTTACATTTGTAAACTTTAGGGGTTGTGTGACTTAAACCTGAAGTGCACTTTTCAAAATGGGCAAGCAGTGTGTATTTGACTTTAATAATCTGTGTACCTAATCAAATGCTAAACAGTCTTCACTGATTTTTTTTACTGCCTTTATGAAATGTTATTACTTTGTTGAAATGAAAATTGCAGTTGCTCTGAAAAATGGACAGGAGGTTGTATAAATACCCTGCAGCTTCTATAAGTACCTCCTGCAAAGCTATTTTAGTGGCTTACAGTAGGTACTTATTGAATTAGTAATTCTTATGCTGGCTATAGTAGCAGTATGCTTGGGGGAATAGTTTTCCTATTTTATAACAGTAGAAGAACATCAGCATTGCAAAGTGCAGGTTTAGAAAAATTAACTTGTCCAATCAGTAGTGAGTGAAAAAAAACATCCATCATGAGTGTGGATGTCTAAGCTATTAACTTCTGCTTTCAAGTTAGAAACGGAAGCAAACTAGTTAGGGTTTTGAAAATAACCATCCAAAAGTAACTTGTGTATAAATCAACACAGTGTTGTCTGCCCATCTCTGCAGAAAGACTGCTTCCTTGCTTCAAGTGCTGTCCATACCTTTGGTGTTAATGAATTTTGGATCAGTTTCAGTGCTGCTGTTCAGAATCCTATGAGTAGTTGTGAAATTGTCAACCAAATCAATTGCATGCTGTTGCTGCTTGAGAAAGCTATGAGCAGGGGTGGAGGCAGGCGTTGGGGAGAGGCTATAGGAGGAGTAGAGCAGTGAAGACCCTACCCTCGTGAAGGAGTGTTGGACCCTGCACAGGAGAGTAAAGAACCCAAGCTTCTCTCCTCCAGTAGCTAGAGGGGATGGAGTTGTTACTTACTAGCAAGATGCTGATCTGACAGATGACACCACCCCACACCCAGAAGAAAGGCCCGTGACAGCATCCTGGTAGAAATTCTAGCCCAGCAGCTGCTATTGGTGAAGAGGCTAGGGTGCTCACCTGTATGTTGTTCTGGCTCTCGCAGGTGGGCCCCCAGGTACCATATTTGGTATCTGCCTTTGCTTAAGAAGTGTCTGTTTCAAACCCTGAGCAAGTGCAGTGTCCTTAAACATACATACATACATTCATCTCCTATGCTTGAAAACATAAAAAGCAGTCAGTCACACACAGGGCAAGTAGTAAGTATAATTTTCTGGTTCTGAATCGATCCCTGAACCCAGCTGTTTACAGGAAGTTAAATATAAATTGCAGGAGAGCATTGTCAGTAATAATTCTGAAACCAGAACTTTCCAGAGGTCTGGACTAGAGCACCCTTCTGTAGCAGATTGTGGCATGACTGGCACACCTGCCTCAATTCCCCACTAGAGTCCCCAGAAATAGTCCATGGAGTCCTACCAAGAATAAAGATAGCCCTTGTGGGGTTCATTTATTACAAAAGTTCCATGAACATAAATCCATAACCAAGATCCCACAACCATAGTCCAGATTTCCCCAGCATAGTCCAAACGGTACATTCAGTATACAGCTCCAGCATCCTTCCCCAAGCCTCGGCTCTCCAGCTTAGCCCCTCCAGCTGGTGTGCAACCCTGCTCTTCCCAGTGGGAACCCCCACAGCCTCTGTGCTGGGAGCATCTTACTCCCCCAGCCCTGTCATGGTTCCTCTGGGTCCAGGTCTCTGGCCCCAGAGGTGTCAGTGGATAAGCTGCATGGCCCTTCCAGCTGATGTGCACTCCTGCCATCAGCCCTCTCCAGCTTAGAGCCAGCAGGCAACTCCCCCTGCTGCTTGCTTCTGCCTTCAGCCTCTTCCAGTGCTCACTCTCTGGCTTGAGGACACCAGATAGCAAACCCTCTTGCCATTCTCCCACCTTCAGCCTTCTTCCAGGTCCCAAACCTACAGTGTCTCTGAAGACCCTCCCAGGGAAGAGCTTTCTGCAGCTTTCCTGAGAGACCCTCTCCCAAATGACTCTCACCAGGGCTTTCCCTGACCTTACAGCCCCCAGGTGTCACCTTGTGCTCTTAATTTGTCAAATGCAGCCCCTGCACGAGCATAGGAGAGCTGGCCCAGCTTCATTTACCGGGCTAGACACCCTGGGTCAGTCTCACTTCTGCTTTTAGTTTCACTTTGAACAAATTTGAGAATGTATTTAAGACAGTACAGATGTGGGAGAAACTAATAATCTATTTATATCTTTTTGTTCTAGCCAAGAAGACTTTTCTTGGACAAAATAAGTCATTTTGGGGACCTCTGGAGCTGGTAGAGAAGCTTGTTCCTGAAGCTGGAGAGATCACAGCAAGTGTTAAAGATCTGCCGGGGCTTAAGTAAGTGAAATCCTGGGTATGTCTACACTTCTTCAGTAAAACACTCACAGTTGGCCCATGTCAGCTGACTCTTGCTCACAGGGCTCAGGCTGCAGTGTAGATGTTCAGACTGAGGCCTGGGTTCTGGGACCCCCTCAAGCGGGGAGGGTCTCAGGGCTTGGGCTCCAGCCAGACCCCTAAAATCAACACCCCACAGCCTGAGCCCTGCGAGCCTGAGTCAGCTGACATGGGCCAGCTACATGTGTTTTATTGCAGTGTAGACCTGTCCCCTGATCTGTTGCTTTCCAGGCAGAATCATAGGGTTAGAAGGTCTAGTTGAACCCCCTACCAAGATGCAGGATTTGTTGTGTCTAAACTATCCAAGACAGATGGCTATCCATCCTCTTTTTGAAAACTTCCAAACGAAACATACCCAGTTCTTTCAGCCTTTGCTCATATGGCTTGCGTTCTGTCCCTTTGATCATCTTCATCTTTGTCTTCGCCTCTGGATCTTTTCTGTACATTGGTGACGAGAAGTGAACACAGTACTCCAGCTGAGGCCTAACCAGCGCTCAGTAAAGCAGTACTGTCACCTCCGTGACTTGCATGCTGTGCCTCTGTTAATGCAATCTAAAATTGCATTTGCCCTTTTTTTTTTTTTTTTTTTTTTGGGCAACAGCATTACATTGTTGACTCAGTACTGTAGGGTTTAATTGTAAGTAAGAGATGAAAGTGAAAGCAATTAATAGGGCTTTATCTGCAGCTTTTAACCAAAACAAGCAAAGGAATTAGTGGTGGAGAGGATGTTTTCTCATTATAAAAGAGCAAGGAGGCTTCCTGAAGAACTGCACACTTAGTACTGGCAATAAATGAATGATATGTGGAGGGACCAGAAATAGGTCTTATTGAATCTTTCACTCTAGCTCAAGAAAAGTGGCATTAAAGAGGGAGAACATTAGATAGGAATTTTCTGTGATATCTTGGAACACTGGAGATAGAGGTTGATCGACTTTTTTAAAAAAATCCTTTTCTTTTAATTTAAATAAATGGAAGACTTGGTAGTGACCAGAAAGGCAAACAAGATGTTAGATTGCATTCGGAGACAGAATCATTCTGGAAATATAGTACCTTTATATTACTTAGCCACCTGAGATACTGTGTTCAGTTTTGCTTCCCCCTTTCAAAAAGAATCGAGCAGAAATAGAAAATATCTACAGAAGTGCAACAAAAATGAATAGAGGCTTAGGAAAACTTCCCCATGAGGAGGGACTAAGGATTAAGACTTCTCAGTTCAGAGAGGAGATGAATAGGTGACATGAGAGGTACATAAAATAGCAAATAATATAGAGAAGGTGTCTCCTATATTCATAACAGGCTGTAATCCTGAAAGTTGTTCCACGTGAATAGAGTCTCATGCCCCTGGATTTCACTGAAGCTCTATGCAGAGTCTGCCTGCATGGTACAGCTTGTAGGATCAGAGTGCATTATTTACTGTTTCGTTTTATAAAAGACCAAGGGGATAAACAATAAAATTAAAAGGCGACAAAATTAAAACAGATGAACCAAAAAACCCCAACCTTTGTACACATGTAAACTGATGCATTTCATTGCCACAAAATGTCACAAAAGCCCAGAGCACTGTAGCATTAAAAAAGAAAACATACAAGGATAACAAAAATACCTTAGGTTACATTAGCTGGAATAATGAAATGAAGTCCTCCACATGCTTCCTGATACAAGCCAGTTGACTAAGTGCTGGGAGGTGAAAAATAATTTCCCTCTAATCATTCTACTGTTTATATGGGTGGTTTACACCTTCCTTTGAAGCATTGGGCACTGGCTGCTCTACATCATACCAGATTAGGTGAGCCATTACTCTGATCCAGCATGTCAGTTTCTACATTTCTAAAACCATGTACGTTCCACCTGTTGGCCAAAATGGGGGAAGGAAGAAAGTGTGAAAGATTAACTATCAAAACCATAAAACATTCTTGTTTGATATGTTCAGAACTTCACCTAGCATTGAGAGAACCATATTTAATCAATACTACAAATCCCCTGTTCAGTTCTTCAACAGGCTGAGGATTGGTTACCTGAGAGATATTTGGGCACCCACACTGTGTTAAAGTCCAAAATGAGTGTGGCTGAATTCTTCTGTTAACTTGCCTACTATGACAATTGCATTTGACCCCTTTCTATATCCATGCCCCGTTACTTGATTTCTCTGAATGTTTCTGATAATCTTTGTCTAGATAAGTATTGCTAGCTCTTTGCAGAAACAGCACCCAAGAGGATTAAAAAGGGAAGATAGGAAAAAGACAAATGATTGCAGGGATAAACACTGTATGTGGGCACTTGCAGTTGCATACCCAAATTTCCACCTACAGTAATTGCTGAAAGCTGCAACTTTGAGATAATGTGTAGATTGCAGAGATTTCAAGCAGAGTAAGACATTCAAGGTTTGTGTGAATATATATATTATAACATGTGAGTAATTTCTTTGTTTTGTTTCTGGGCTTTGGTAGGACGCCTGCAGGTAGAGGAAGAGCCTGGCTTCGCCTGGCCTTAATGCAGAAGAAGCTTTCAGAATACATGAAAGCTTTGATTAACAGAAAGGATCTTCTCAGGTGAGCAATTCTTTCTCTCTTGAATCTGAGAGTTTCATTTTATTCTCTGTCCTCAAGTGATGTAGATCCATTGCACTCAAAGGACATTTTATAATGCATTTTTATTACTCTGCAACACTGGAATAACAACTATACTTGTAGTTTTGATTTGGGACAGCGGCACTGGTGAAATCTGGAGCTTGTTTTGAGTGATGGGGAACTGTTCAGCTTTCTGCTTGCGATTCAAAAGCCATTATCTTCCACTGTTGTAGTAACAGCATGCAAAAGATCCAAACATTTCATTTATTACAAAGAGGTGCTGTAACACAGGTAATTGGAGTAAGGGGTCTGTATAGTGGGGAGGCAGTGTTCAGTGGATAGGGCACAGGGCTTTGGGCAAGTCACTTCACTTTTCAGTACCTCCGTTTCCCCATCCATAAAATGGAAATTGTCACAGAGTGTGCCACTCACTGCTAGTCTGGCGCCACCTCCTGGTCCCTCTGGGGATTAGCTCTCGAGATCGATGCCCTTTCTGTGGTTTGGACATAATCGCTCCGTCTGTCTCTGGTCTGCAGCTCCTCTCTCGCTCCAGAAACCTCAGTGTTGTCCTCTTCTTGACTCAGCCCTCCAGCTAGGTCACTCAGCGTTTCCCCCCCTTCTGGGGTACAGTCCTGCAATTCTCTGTCAGTCCCACAGTGACCCAGGCAGTCTTCCCATTCCCTGGCTCTCTAATGCCACTTCCCCAGCAGCGGGTAGGACAGCCCGGGCCCACCCTCTATTCCAGCTTCCAGCCCAGTGACCCTACAACACGCAGCCAAAGTTGGCTCAGTTCCCAACATTGCTGTGTATTCCCTGGGCTGATTCCTACTCTTCTGGCTTGCCCTTCCTTCTCCCAGGGTCTGCCAGTTTCACACTCCCTCCTTTCAGGGAGCAACTGCTGGCTGTACACCTCTGCAGCCTCCCAACCCTCTTCCCAGGGAGTGACTGCCCTTTCCCAGCAGCCCAGCCCCTGTCTGTTGCCAGCTTCCTGGCTTTGTAGACCCTGCCTCTTCCTTCCCAGCTGAGCCTGTTTACAATCGATCCGTGCTCCCTGGCTCTTCCTCCAGGTGTAGGCTATGGAGTTATTAGGCCTATGTGGCCACCTTACCTCTTTCCAGTCCTATATGTGGTGGACACTCCATCACAGCAATAATGATACTTTGTAAACTGCTTTGAGATCTATGGATGAAAAGTGCTAAGTAGTATTGCATAATTGCCTGCATATTTTTCTTTGTTATGAGTTTTTAGTATTTTTGGCTTTATGAATATTCATTTTTTAATTCCTTCAATTATCTTGAGTGTGGGTGGAGAAGCTTGAAATTAACCTTAGGAATATGTAGGGTGGCCTAGTGTCAGATGGGAGGTTTATAACAGAGAAAAATTAGGGTATGTAACTTTTTTAAAGTTTAATATTCGCTTAGCATTCATGACTCTTTTGCTTTTAAATTGAAAAATAATTGAGTGCTACATTACCTCAGTCAAAGCTGGAAACCTGAGAGCTGTCTGCAGTAACTTACCTTGTGCAGGATATACCTACAGAGCTATCAAGCCTCCCTTACGTTGGGCCTTTGTCTCACATTCATGGCTTAGCAAGTTAAGAGGTTCCCCTTTCTAGATCTCTCTCAGGTCAGAGCAGCAGTATATTGATAGAGCCATGTCGGCTGTACGGCTGATGTATAGACTGTCCGCTAGCGGCCAGCCGTCTGACCAGATACGAGGGGAGGGTGTTAACACTTTATTGTTGTCTTAGAAGGTCACAGGGCAGGAGTGTAGTGGGTAATAGAGCTCATGCCAGTTTATCTGTAAGTGTCTCTTCAAACTCCAACTTGTTTTTTAAAGGTTTGAGTGATGTAATACTTACTGTCTCTTTTGGTGCATCTTGCAGTGAATTTTATGAGCCTAATGCTCTCATAATGGAAGAAGAAGGTCACATAATTGCTGGCCTCCTAGTAGGGTTGAATGTCATTGATGCAAACTTCTGTATGAAAGGAGAAGACTTGGATTCACAGGTATTGGATATTAATAATCGGAATAATCCCTAGAAGTTGTAAGTATTTCTGGGATGAATTGCGCTTACTAGAATTATGCTGGTTTTTGATTGTATGTTTTCGATTATACCAATTAGTTAAACAAGGGGAATACTGTAAGTATTAGCTACAAACTGGGTTTTGCAGGCTAGCAAGTGTGTGTGTCTTATTTGCTGCTGTTTTTTATTCTACCTTCCTCCTCAATATATGCCACTGGAGGTGACCCTTTTGTACTTGGTTTAGTCATTTAGATGTAACATCTCGTACACAGAAGTGCTGTCAAAACACTTTCCACCGCTACCTACTGGGCCGCGATGGTCTGTCTCGCACTCTGGCGGAGTGCCACTGCCCTCTGTTCCCTTTGTTCGTTTTTTTTAAAATGACCGGCCTGAGAGACCATCCCTTCTGTTTCTCTTTTCTGCTGCTCCTCATTGTGACCTGCATACAGGTCACACACAGCAGAGTGAAACTTAGTACCAGGCCAAGGAGGAGGAAGTGAAAACTGAGAAATGAAGCTGGGGAAGAGAACTGAAAAGAAGGGGAATGCTGCTCTGACCGGGGTCAGGAGTATTAGTTTGTCTAAAAGCGTGTGTCAGGAAATCGTTTATAGCCGTTAACAAGAGGGAAGTAAGTTAACATGCACGCCTGATTCAGCTTACGTAGCTGGTGTGTATAGGAGTGTGTTGATCAAGATCTGCTGTCCTTCCCTCCTTCCAGTACTCCACTTGCATTACAAAGGGTAGCAACTTGACCTTCTACTTGAGCTCATCCTTATTTTTATCAGTCTGGGTAGATTGTTGGTATAGTGGATTTATCCTAGATTATAATTCAATGCATTGATTTTATAAACAAACCAATGATGCTGAAATTGTGTAGGTAAAAAGAATAATATTTAGGTAGAGTGTTAGAGCCATATGTAAAATACTAAAATCTTCCTTTGTAGGTTGGAGTTATTGATTTTTCAATGTACTTGAAGGATGGGAACAGCAGTAAGGGCAATGAAGGGTAAGTACAAAGGGAAACTTGTGTCCTTTTTTGAAGAGGGGTTATTTGTTTGGTTTTTGAGTAGTATTGCAAGTTGACCCATAATCCTGTAGTTTTAATTAAAACACTGCAGTCATGCTGAATTCCATTTTTGTTCTAATTATAGTTCTGGGATGGAATTCAGAAGGTTAACAAAGGAAAGAACAGGAAAGTATCCAGAATCTCAGGGGCAAGGGGTTGCATTTATTGACTTAACCAGCAATTAAATCAGAGAGCATTTTACAAAGCAAAAAAAGGCTCAGCGATCAAACTTGTGGTAGGCCATTTTCTAGAGCTCTTTCAATTTAAGAGCTGCGTGGTTTGGAATTTTCTTTTTCCAAACAATTATATGACCAGTAAGAGAGTCTTCAATCTCTAGCATCAAAGGGGGATGCATAAGAAATAAATCTCCCATTGTGTACATGAACCAGATTATGCTTATCGGATTAGTTTGAGTTCTTATACCTGCATATGTGCACGTAGATGTATAACACTGTATAGGAACAGGAAATGGAAAAATACAGGAATATACAATACATACAAATATGACTTTCTGTACTTCTGAAATTCATTAAATCCTCTTCTTCATTGATCAGAAGTTCTATCATTTTCTATTCATTTGGTGTTACCTTGATTCTTCAGAGTGAAAGTTTGCACTTTCCTCTTGTATTTGTCATTTTTGAAAAATAATTTGTTTTTATTTAACTTTTCATGCTGGAAATGCATGAAACAAAGTCTGTTTTCAGCTTTTGTTGAGTGGATCGTAGGGGGATGACTTTGTTTTGTAAGCTTGAAGGCAGTACGCAGAACAATACTGGTACTTGTTTGTTTGAATTTTCTCTTGCTAATCAAAATGTCTTCCTTGATTGATTGGGCATTCAATTGTGCAAATTATACAAACTTTGTCCTGCTAAAGGTTGCACTGACAACTTGTCCGAATTCCAAGGACTGTAAGTAATTTATATACAGACACAGATCACAACTGCTCTCATCTTTCAATATACGGATGTGTCACATAGAGGAATTCACTCTCAGTCCTGTAGACTCCATCACAATCCAAATAGCTGTTTTCTCAGGTACAGATAGGTCTTAGATAGCAATGTTGTCTGCACAGACCTGTGTGCTCTGAGAACTTTAAAGATGAATATCTTTGACCATAGTATCTGAAGTTGAGAGATGGGAGCAAAGAGAATTTTTTTTTCTCTCTCTTCTCCCCTTCGTCTGCTGAATAATCCCACTCTATATTCTTCTTTTGGCCCCATATAAGCATTTTGAAGTGACAGCATGCCTGTGTTACCTCTGCCTCAGACAGCCCCTTCATCATGGAACCACTTTAGGGTCCATGCTAGGAATCCATTCCCCCCCCACCCCCACCGACGACCTAAACAGGTCAAGATGGAGGGGACATTCTTGGTAGGGAAGGTTGGATCAGGTAGAATGAGCTCTGCCTGGTAGTCCTGGCCTTTCTTCCCAGTGGTAACAGGCCTTCCCTTCTGTAAAGAACAATTGTCCCCTAGAGGCCTCAGGAAACACCACAGAACTGACCAGTATCTGAAGGATTAAAGATGAGCTGGCCATAGGAATGGCTAAAGCACAGCCCGTAGTCCCATGAGACAATCGTTGCTTGTAGGTTGGGAGAGAACTGTATATCAGGAAACACTGACTATTCACTGTGTCTGTTTTTCAGAGATGGTCAAATAACTGCTATTCTGGACCAGAAAAATTATGTAGAAGAACTCAATAGACACTTAAGGTAACAAGTTCTTTTCTATTATGGTATGATCTAAGAGACATAAAGTGGTGGTTATATTTATTTTTAAAGTAACCAGTAGCTTTTTCTTTTTGATTTGACAGTGCCACTGTAAACAATCTGCAGGCAAAGGTGGATGCTTTAGAAAAATCCAACACTAAACTTACTGAGGAGGTAGGTGTAACAGAAAAGGGTGCATCTTTATTGCCTGTGAAATCCCGAATTAGGCAGAAGTGATATCTGATTCCTGAATTAAGTTGTAATGACTGATGTCTGTTAAAGGTGAACTGGAAAGCTGAAATGAAAACTGAGTTAAGCACAGGATTGTGTTGTTTGTTGCCACTAACTAGGCATGAAGGACCCTCAGCAAAAGAATGCTTTTTAAAATTAACTATTTAAAAAACAAACAAACATTTTCTCCTCTGAAATCTGATTGATACTTTCTGCTTATGGAAGGCATCAGAATGTGTCCCAGAATGCATTGTATGAGACATCTTGGCTTGCTGCCACACAACATTTTGATTAAAAAAACAAAACAGAATGATGCAAAATTATCATGGTACGCATGGATTAAATGGATTAAAAACTGGCTAACTGATAGGTCTCAAAATGTAAATGGAGAATCATCAAGCAGGTGTGTTTCTAGTTGGGTCTCACATGGATCAGTTGTAGGCCTTTAGCTATTTACCTTTTTCTTCTTTTTCTTTTTTTTTAATGACCTGGAAAATAAATCACAAAATCATAGCTGATAACGTTTGTAGATGACTCCAAAATTGGGGGAGTAGTAGATAATGAAGAGGACAGGTCACTGATAAAGAGTGATCTGAATCACTTGGTAAACTGGGCACAAGCAAACAATGTGTTTTAATGTGGTCAAATACAAAAGTATATATCTAGGAACAAAGAACGTAGACCATGCTTACAAGTCAGAGGACTCTATTTTTGGAAGCAGAGACTCTGAACAAGTTGTGAGGGTCATAGTGGATAATCAGATAAACAAGAGTTGCCAGTGTGACACTGTGGCCAAAAGGGTTAATCTGATCCTTGCATGTGTAAACAGGAGAATCTCGAGTAGAGAGGCTATTTTACTTCTCTGTATTTGCACTGGTGTAACCGCTGCTGGAATAAAACGACCAGTATGGGTGTTCACAATTAAAGAAGAACGTTGTTAAATGAGTGAGAGTTCAAAGAAGGAGCCACAAGAATGATTAAAGGATTAGAAAACCTGACTTAGACTTGAGGAGCTCAAACTGTCACCTTATTTAGCTTAATGAAGAGAAGGTTAAAGAGTGACTTGATCAGAGTCTCTCAGTACCTAGGTGAAGTACAAATTGTGGATAATGGGCTATTCAGTGTAACAGACAAAAAGGCTTGACAAGATCCAAGGGTTGGAAGTCAAAACTAGACCCATTCAGACTGGAAATAAGATATAATTTTTTTAAGGTGAGGGTAATTTCATCACTGGATCAGTTTATCAAAGATTGTGGTAGACTCTCCATCACTAGCAACTTATAAATCAAGATTGGATCTTTTTCTGAAAGATACTCTCTTGTTCAAACAGGAATTATTTGGGGGAAGTTCTGTGGCCTGTGTTATACACGAGGTCAGCCTAGGTGCTCTCAGTGGTCCATTCTGGCCTTGGAACCTGTGAATCTATGAATATCTTCAGTGAACTGGGAATTTATGAAGAAATTTTCAGAGGATGTTTTGTTTAAAAATGTATTTCTTTGGTAAATATCTGCTTCTGTAATCAGCTCTTACTCGGTGTTGTCATAGTGTATGTTGAAATGTAATGATGTCTTTTCCTATATCTGCTCAAAATTTGCTGAATATAAATAAAAATGTGTCACTCTGCAGAAAACCCCCACAGACTGGTCACTTAGGTCAGTCAATACACAAATCTAGGTATAATTTTTTTTCTTTCCTTTTCCATTTTTTCTTTGTAGTTCATGCATTCTAATCTTCCCCATTCTTCTACAGGCCTCCTGTATGACTTTGGACAAGTCAGTTAATCACTTTCCCTCCGTTTCCCATGTGAAATGGGGAATAATGAGTTTGGACTCTTGTCTTTTGTCTGTTTAGATTGCGTGCTCTTTGGGATGTAGCCTCTCTTAGCACAAAGGGATCCTGATATCAATTAGGATCTCTAGGTGCTATGATAATACAAATTAAAATACTCTCTGAAAAAGGACAATAATGGCCTTACATTTTCATGTTTTGCTTACTCCAGATAGCTTTATACATCCGGTTAGTGAACAGTTCCAAATATACATATTCAGATGGTCCTGTTACAAATGTAAAAAGTTTTGCAGTCTTCTCCTCTGGCATCCAGTTTCACTAATGGAGATGACTGTATCTACTCATGTGGGGAAGGAAGAAAAGTTATGTTATATTGTGCAATTAAAAACTGAGTACTTTAAAAGGCAGCATGATTGTGCTGCTGTTTTTGGTTATACTGTAATAAATGGCCTTTTGTTTAAAGCCTGCAAAATTCACATGCTCTGCCAATCAAATGTATTCATATCTCCTACCAAATTAATTGCAAATCAAAGTATTTGTTGATAAACAGTTTATTTTCTGGTCACTCAGTGGAGTCTCCATACTGGTTAAAATGATAACTGACATTGTAACAGCTCTGCCCACCAAAACTATCTGTAGCACACCGCTAATTCATTGTGTTGCTTATCATATCAATTCATGCGTTTCGCATGAACTGTACAAAAGAATCATGGTCTTGTCAGGATCCTCTGTATTAAAATAAGTAATCTATTGGTCATGGATGTCTTTCTCCCAGGAATTCCAACAGGGAATAGGACAAAGAGCCACTGCCCCAAGTAGGCCAGTGAAGATCTTTCTACTATTAAGATTCTCATATCGCACCCATCACTGTCTTATCTGAGTGACTGAGCACCTTGGTATCCAAGTGATGTAAATAGCTGTCCATCTAGCCAAGTGAAACATCAGTGTCTAAGTTACAATTCTCTGGTTTTGTTTACAGCTTGCAGTTGCAAACAACAGGATTATAACTCTGCAAGAAGAGATGGAACGAGTTAAAGAAGAAAGTTCTTACCTCTTGGAAAGTAATCGTAAGGTCAGTGTGTGTATGTTATGAATCTTTTTTCTTTTAAGTGAGAATTTCACTTACTTATGCCATTGACACACTCATTACTCAAGCCCATCTTTTTTTCTAAATTCAAGGGGAACTCCATAGAACTGTTTCAAAGTTTTTACTTAACCAGATAAAATATGTTGGTATCCACTATGGAATCTATTTCTACCTTTGGAAATTATAAAGATATTTTATCCGACTTTATAAATTGTTCCTACTTAAAATCCTATTCTCTACATCCTGCAAATGGCTAGACTGATTATACATTATTGCATTAAATAACACGTATTGGCGGAGGGAAATAGTAATGTCACAAGGATGTTACTTGCTGCATTAACTTAGTGAAGACTATCAATGTTTGAAAATGGCAGAAGCAAATTGACAAATATGATGATTCTGATAGTTTGATTTCCATCTGATTTGTTCTCTTAACTCTAGGTGACTAAGCAAGACAGAACTGCAGATGGATTTGCACTGAATGAAGCACGAAAACAGTTAAAGGAGGAGACTCAGCTACGGCTGGTAAGCTTGGTCTAAACTCAGAATTCGGTAAAGTATTAATATTTTATGTAGTCATTCGTTGTCTAACAATTACCTTTTGCAAAGGGTATGTGTTATGGTCCAAGATGCAAGTAAAGGTGATAGTATTCCAAAATGCCTTGCTTAATAACCGTTAATAACCTTGCCTAATAACTTCATTTTGTTTTAAAACAAAAATCTACCAGAAGTAAATTTCCTGCTTCACAGCAGAATACTTACCAGATTTGGGTCAACATCACACAAAACATGCATTGAGCTTCTATTTTTGTATTTAAGAAATGTAAATGATATACTTGAGCCTACAGCATGGACACCTGTCAACTATTGTTATACAGCACATGAGATAAGGGTGTGGAAAATGGTTGAAAGGGGTATTCTTGTGAAATAAGAGGTCTGCAAACATTTCCCTAATGACAAATATAAATTTGGCCCAACTTGAGCTTTCTGATTGGTTGCCAGTGAAGTCAGATACATAGCCATAATACTTAGCTGTAATGGCATCTGTTTTCCTTAATTTAATTTCTAAATTCTATTTATAATGGCAATAAGATATTCGTAATGCAACATGATTAATAGTATGTGTTGATGGGGTGAAGGGCAGGGTGGATTATCACACCTTAGTTCAGTCATGTTCTAGTCAGAAGACTGGTTGTGAAACATAATGTGTGTGTTTCAGGATGTGGAAAAAGAACTAGAGGTGCAGATTGGAATGAGACAGGAGATGGAGCTGGCCATGAAGATGCTGGAAAAAGATGTTTGTGAGAAGCAGGATGCACTAGTGGCACTCAGGCAGCAACTAGATGATCTCAGGGCACTAAAGCATGAACTCTCCTTCAAGCTGCAGGTAGGGAAGGAAGCTAATGAAATGGTCCCTTTGTAGATATGGCATGTAGGAACCAACTAGACTTTCTTTCTTATCAGAAAGTCATTCATGAGGGAAGAAGAGGGTCACTTGTATACCTTTTCTTTTCGTCCTTGCTCCATCCTTCCCCATCTCTTAATCTCACTATGGATTCCATTTGATTCCTTCCACGCTCAGCCTGCCTTGAGGCTGACCTTTCTAACTGAGGAAAGCTGAACGTGACTTGGTCTGGAAGCAGTGGAGGCTGTAGAAAGTCAGTCTGTTCTTGGATCCTTCATGTCATCGTGTGGTTTGCCAGCACTACAAGGCTGGCTCAGACCTTTAAAAAATAAAAATAAAAAAAAAAGCTCACCAGATGTAGGGTCTTATGAGGAAAAAGCATCCCATGATATCTAAATACTTATCTGTTGAATAGTAAGACAATAATTTTCCCCTAATACATGGCTGTTTTGAGAGTTGTTTGGTAGCATGCTGCTGAGGCATCCTTACCCATCACCTGATATTGTTTTTGGAGCAGCTTGCATAGCTGCTCAGGGTTCAGTAGTTCCACTTGTGTTCCCTTGTTAACGTGCTAGAGACTGAGGAGATGGATCTTTTCCAACACTTATGGGAGATGGTGTGTGGGCAAGCTCCTTTTCTGCTGTATTTCACTTTTATTAGTGCAAATAACTATACAACAGTGTGTAATCTCCTTTCTCTAGACTGGAGCACATGTTTTAAGTAACTGTAGAAACAAGGAGGTCACAGCAACATTTTCAGAATCTGTAGCCTGTGGTTTTACTTCCTAATTTCATTTGCCAGTTTAGACTTGGGCTGCCCTCAGTCACGTCCTATATGAGGTTTCCTTTTGTGTTCTGTACTGTAACACACAGAGTATCACTTGCTATGGTATAATGATAAAATGAAATTATTTGTATGGGTTACCATGGACAGAGACTTTCAACATCATAGTCCTTATAACTTCTGCTTCTAGAGGACCGCCTGCAGCATAACCAAAGTCAGTTCTAAAGAAAAGCTTTAATGACCAAAACTAAAAGTAAACATATCACTGTAAAACCATTGTATTTATAAAAACAAAACCATGATAGTGTCTATCTAGTAAAATCTATTATTTTAATATATACAGTTCCACTTATCACTGAGATCCACTAGAACAGACTACTAAGACAAAACCAGACAGCTAATGCCCAGAGAAATAAGTATTCAACTTAATTTCAAAACCATAAACAGAATTAGCTGCCAGACGGTTGACAGTTCAGGCAACTGGCACTCTTGTGCCACACAATTGATGGTGTAATATTGATAGATACTACATCAATCCATACCATGTGGTTCAGGTATAATACTTTAATACATAAAATAAAATTGTTTGTTTACTTAGTCACTTACCAGGACATGGGGAAATGCTTGTCCACACTATTCATCTTTGCTTCCAATCTTTGCCCTTTGGATCACTCCTTCTTACATGTTTTAGCATCACCGATTCCATTTCATTTTCCAATGTAGTTTATTTCATATTTACCACTGCTTACTGAAGACATTAAGTAACTTTCCTTTCCAGAGTTCAGACCTGGGAGTGAAACAGAAGAGTGAATTAAACAGCCGTTTGGAGGAGAAGACAAATCAGATGGCTGCTACTATTAAACAGCTTGAACAAAGGTAAAAATGAAACTTTGTTGTTACAAAATATAAATGTGTCCCTGTGGTATGTGGTATACTTTTGAAGGTGCTAAAATTGCATATTTTTATATAAACTTGTTACATAGAGCTAAACAAATATGCCAGATAAGCTAAGTGCTATTCCTAAGAGTCCTTTATAGATATTTTTTTGAAACGTTAATATTACCCAAGTTGCATTTAGTGGCCTAGGCCTGCTTTTAGCGAAGTCCATGGCAAAATTCCCACTGAATAGCATGGGAGCAGAACTGGGCATTACAACAAAGGGTCAAATCCTACTGCTCTTATTCACCTGAACAGTCCCATGGAAGTAAGTGGAACTATTCAGATGAATAAGGAGAGCAGGACTTGGCCCTAAAGCAGTAATTCCGTGATAGACTGGTAGCAAGGACATGTTTTGTGTGCTCAGGAAAATCCTCCATAAATGAGAACATCCTGCTAAAATATCAATTACTGTAGAAGCTTGTTTTATACACACAAACCGAGCATACACAGTGTATATAAACCGAGCATACACAGTGTATATATAAAAGCTAATTATGGGTGTCCTTGTCCGCATTGTTGAATGTGAAGATGTAACACTGGGTAATTAATTGCCTATTGCTAATTTAAATAGGCCTGTACAGCACCACTAACACTGTACAAATGGATGACTCTCAGAAGCATACAGTCTATATTAGACACAACATGGCAGGGATGGCAATACGGTAGTGGGGGGCATGAAGGACAAGGATTACAACAGTCACATCTGAAATATGCTTATGGGTACGTAAGACTCGAGTTCTGGTTTTGAAACTATTCTATATTAAAATTGGAACGTCCATCTCCATGAAAACTGAGACCCATGTTTGTTTCTGGGAGGTCTGAAGTGCAAGAAAGCACAGTTAAAGTACCTTGGTGGGTGGGAGTGGAGAGGACTGTTTCTGGCACTAGGAGCTGGCAGAGGTGGCGGATGGGAACCATATCCATTAGCGCCATGAGGACACATTCTCAAACACCTATCCTAGTGAGACAGTGCTGACAGCCCACTACCAACTCTCACATAATTGGGATGGATTCTGAGGTCAGACATAAAACCACTCCCAGAGGAGGGCCTCAGGGGATTGCATCCTTTTTCTTTAACATCTTTGGAGCTGAGCTTCTTATAGTTGCTTTCACAGAGGGTTCAGCTGGTGTGAACTGACTTCAAATGGAACTGTACTTATTTAGTCCAAAGTGTCTCCACCTATGCATCCATTCCCTTGTTATGATCCTGAATGATACGAGCGGGCACGAGAGGTGCATTTCCTAAAGATAAATGCTGTTTCATTTGGAAATAAAGTCAGAAGTAAGGGGAATAGTTAAGGTTTTTTTTATAATTATTACCTTATTCAGTTAAAGGATGATTATTGTAGAGTGTGTAACTTTCATCAAACTCTTCTGAGGTGTTTTCTGTAGTCTTCTGAGTGGCTCTGAGCAATGTTTGCCTTTTCATAATGTATACAGACATATATTGAATGTACTACAATATCTGTTCAGTTAACTGATTTGAACTTCTCTCTTACTGTTTTTATTTTTTTTCCATTTCCCACACATCATCATTCTGACATTTTTCATATAGTGAAAAGGATTTGGTGAAACAGGCAAAAACCTTAAATAGTGCAGCAAACAAACTGATCCAGAAGCACCATTAGGCATTTTTGCAACTGGTCACCTCACAACTCTGACATCGAAACTTAGTTATGAGGGGAAAAACCTTAAGAATAGTTAAAAGCAACTGTTAAAATGTTAATTGTCATTTAAAGTTAATTAGGAATTTGCTGAATTTTTAAAACCTTTGGGCTTTTTTTTTCAGAGATAGAAAATTTGGTAGAAGCGCCCTAATTTGCCACATAAACTTTGTTAAACTACAGATGAGTTGGCCAATAAATACAGAAGGAAAGCTTAAGGAATGAGAGATTTGTAGCTCTGTACATACCTTTGATACGTACTGTATACAACACAAGTCTTCAACGTGAATGGGTACTAGATGTGTGGTTCTGTGCCAATATCCGATTGGCCAGTTCTGGGGAAGCCAAACTAGTTTTCTCTAGTTATGAAGTAGACAAAGAAAATGTGTCCCTGGAAGTAGTTGAAAGTAGTTACGTGCATATTCCCAACCATTACCCTTTCACTTTTGTTCTTTGGGTTTAACAAATGGGCATTACATCTTAATATCTCATCACTATGAAGATCCAGTCCTCGTTAACCAAGACTGCTTGCAACAATTTTGTCTTAGTGACTTGGGGTGGGGAGGTAAATCAACCATAGATTCCTTTAAACTTCATGAAGACAGAATTGGTAACTAGACGTCTTAGAGTAACGTTACAGTAGAACCTCCTTATCTTTTCATTGCCTTCTACCTCTGCCATAATTCCCTCTAGAAATATACTGCAGTTCTTCCTAACTGAAGGAAGCTGAGGAGAGACCGTTGTTTTGTTGGTCTCTCCTCTTCCTAGAAAAGGAATAATTACACATTTTACAAAAATATTCTGCTCTTTATACGTTAGGATTAAAAAAAATGTGAGAGGGGAAGGAGTGGAACAAGTAGTTTTTTGCTGGCCAGTCCTTGTCTCGGAGTAACTAGCCTATAACAAATAAAACAAAATAGCAGACTTTCACTGTTACATTTGTTACCTTTGCTTCTAAGTTTCTGTTGCTTGGTACAAATAGGGAATTTGCTGAGAGTTCTGGCAAAATAATGAAAGACTAACTAAAGCTTAGAAATGGCTCTGAATAGGAAAAATAATCATAAGCTTAACGTCTCACTTCAAATTTTTTTAAAACTGTAGATTGGAATATTCTAAGTTAGTGTCCTCTTCCCTATGGTTGCAAGAGGTCACCATGCTGGTCCCATACAGGCTTTAGGGTGTAAATAATTCTATAAATACTTTGCTTCAAGAAATCAAGTTCGGGTTTTTTCTATGTTTAATAGTTTTTTGTCCTTGTGAATTGCCTGCAAAAATTCTGTCTCATGTAAATTTCCCACTCTGTCATGTAGAATAGGACTCCTTGACACATAGTGGGAGACTTATATGACTATCATGCAGCTGGAAAAATTTAATTCACACTGGACACACTTAAAAATCTGTGAGGCTTAATCTTGCCCTCCAGTACACAGGTGGGTATCGCCCCTTAGCTTGTAAAATTGATGACTGCACAATGGCAGACTTTATAAGACTCCCTGGAAAATAGCAACCAAGTATTTGAGGGTCGCTATTGAGTCACATGTCTGAAAACGCAAAATTAACCTGTGACCTTTTATTCTGAACTTATTTGAATCATCTGCAGAATAAAAGCTTTCATTAGGGTACCCAAATGGCTGGCTAGGATTGTTACAACCCCCTTACCCCCACCAAATTCTTCTTGTGGACAATAAACTTTCTCCTATCACAGTAATGCTATAGTAGGATTGAAGACTTAAATATCTGGCAACTTGTCTAATATTTGATCCAGAGTATAGGTTGCTGTGATGTAAATGCATATGTGCTTAATCTGATGTGATGGTTGTGGAAGAGACCAGGAAAATGCACTAATTCTAAATATAGTAGATAACCTATGTTGCAAGTTCCAGTTACATATGTAAAGCTGAAATGTAACGTACATTAAAATAAAATTTGACTTAAAATTCTGTGTACTTGAGGTTTGCTTTGAATATGGATAAAATGTTTTATGTTTATCATCTAATAGCTGTAAACTGTAGTAATAGAATAAAAAACCTTGAAAATCAGAGTTTCTACTGCCTGGTTCACCTACATTTTGTCTTTCTTTAGAATATTTTCATCCTTCCCATTGTTTTACCATACAATTTGTTTTCCTTTTTTTGGGTTTATTTTTGTTTGTTTAAATTCAGTCTTCCTCCCCACCATGGCTTTTGTTTTTTATCACAAGTTCATGTGGCTCAAATCCAGATTGCGACAGGCAGAGAGAGAACGTCAGTCTGCCAAGGAGGACAACCGGCTCTTCAAGCTGGAATTTGGTGACAAGATCAACAGTCTTCAGATGGAAGTGGAACAGCTCACCAAACAGCGGTGAAGAGACCGTTTTCTAATGTATTTATTGGGTGTGCTTTCTCTGCCAGGTCAAAAATGTCTGGGAAAACCCATAGTAAATGGGGGAGTGTGTTTATTCTAGACAGGCGCAGAGTAACCTTAGAATGGGGAAGTGCTTCGATACGTTGTGGACCAAATTTTCAAATGTGGATATCTGAATTGCAAGTGCATTTTTGTTAAAACTTACCCCTTTTTTAAAGAAAATTACAAAATATGTAATCCGGAAACATGACAAGAATAATACAAGTCCCGTGCACCATCGAACGCTAAAAGAAGAAAAATCTTGTTACAAAAGCTGTCTGAGGAACACCCTGGGTGGAAATTAAATATAAAAAAGTTCTCCAGGCATTTAAAAGCTCATAAAGAGAGGCTGGCAGTGTGCAGTTCTGCTCTAATAATGTAATTTGTATTATAGAATATAAACTTTAGAGAGAGAATAGACAGCAAACAATGTGATTATTCATAATCGGGAATGCTAGAGCTATTGTATCATCTACAGTTTCCTCTTTTTCACCAGTAAGTAAATCTTCTATTTTAGGAGACTGTGACAATAAATATCCTTGGGCACCAACCTAATAAATAAACCTGTATTTTTTTTTTAAATCCACAAACAGCCTTAGTTTTGTTGGGAACCAAAAAAAGACCTGAAAGTCCAGGACAGAAAACTCAGCATGAAAAACTATCACATTCCTCTTCCAGAGTTGTCAGTTTACTAATATCAGGAAAATACAAACCCTTTTACCATGAAATAGAAGATGGCCTCTCATTTTGCATACACGATACATTCTCTGGCCCATGACAAGGTCACTATGAATCATCATTGGATAAAATATATTGTCTCCTAGTGCCTTCTGTGACCTCTTTCTCTTTAGCAGACACCTTAAGGCAAAAAGAAGTGTGAGGGACCTCAATAAAGTAAAGTGATACAAAACAAAATGTTTACAGTGGGGAGGAGGGTGTGAGGACTGATGGGGCTTTTATTAACGAATATATATAAGGTCTCATTTGTGCACACAAAGGACATCGCTATTCCCACAAGCACATCATTTTATGTGCCCACATTTGAAAATTTTGCCAATAGTATAATTAGACTGCATCCAACAGGATGAAAAATGCTAGTCTTTATGTCTTTACTGCTAACAATATTATCAGATGTAAAAGGGGTTTTAGGTTGTGTCTACGCACAGATGTCACACTGATTTAACTAAATTGGTTTAGAAATTAATTCAGCTAAATCAGTGCAAGCACCTTGTGTGGACACTCTTTTATCACTGTATTTATATTTATTTAGTTTTGATTTCTAAGTCAGTTTAGTTAATTTAAGTTCAAATTCTGTTGGTAGACAAGGCCCTTGAGATAGCTATATTGGTAGTAAACTGCTTCCTTGAACTGGATTGCCATATTGGGAAACTGTTTTTTGTTCTGATGAGTTTTCATACAATTTTACGAGTAAGACCACTCTGACTTGTATGGTATTGAGTGCATCAGTGGGCACCGATCCATGTCTCAAGTGTTTTTTCACCCAGTTCTATTCCCTGAGGTCCTGGATGTGGTCTGGAAGCTTTAGGCTGTTATGTGCTAGCTACACCTGTATTTGTAAAAACAACTGGAGAGGTATGGGCACTGTTGGTGGAAATAGGGCATGCTTTTTTTAAGGAGGGCAGGATGCTGGTGTCTCTTCAGAGCGGTTGTTAGCCTCTTTCTCTAAAAATAATCCCTTGACATTGATTTCGTTACCTATTGCCCTTCACTTACCTTGACTTTTGGAGCCAGGTTTGTTCCCTACGGTATATTTTCCTGTTCTGCCCAGTGTATTTCTAAAAGTCCTGAGAGCGAGGATTTCCATCACTTACATTGAGTTCTTACCGATCTGCTCCGAGGGCTCTCTTGCAGTGTTCTGTAGTCTTCAGTTATCATTCCTCCTGTTCAATGAGGAGGTGAAGCTGCTGGGGAAGAAAGTGGGTGGGCTATGCTGCCATCAGTACGCTGACAACATGCAGCTCTACATCTCCTTTTATTGGTCCTAGACACCATGTTGTCACAGCTTTTCTAGTGCTTGGCCAAGACAGATTGGAATGAGAGCAAGATGAGATAAGACCAACCTGATTCTGATTGCTTGAGGAGGCAACCTGAGCGTATGGGAGGATCCCCATTTTTGAGGGTCTGCGGTTGTTCACTTCTGACTTCTCAGCTGGTGTCAGTGACCTAAAATGATCTCTTCCACCTGTGCTTCGGCTGCTGATTACAATTTATTTCTCCCCAATATGAACTCACTGCTATCACCCATATTTTTGTCACCTCCGCCTTGGTTTACAGCAATGCTGGAGGGCTAACCTTGGAACCCTCCGCAGCAGCTGGTGTGCAAATCAGTGGCCTGACCGCTGAGTGGGCTAGAAGGAGTGTATTACGGTAGATTTCAAGGTGCTGATACCTATCTATGGAACAGTATATTATCTCTGCTTCAGCGACCTGAGCTCACACCTCACCCCATTTAGTACCATGGCACTATGATCAGCTGATGTGCTCTTGCTTAACAGTCCCTAGACTCAAACACTCGGGATTTGCTGACAGGGTACTCAGCAGAGAACCCTCTGTTTGAGAACTCAGTTGCTCCGACACAATCTAATTTTAATCTTCAGCCATGGTGGAAAGCACCCCAGTTACAAAGGCTTTGTGTGAGGGGCAGGAGGGGAAGCTTCTTTAAGGATGTCCCTGGAAATTGGTTGAAGATGTTGCTTCTGATTTCATGCTGTTTTTATTGTGGCAGTTTGTATACTGTTGTTGGCAGTAGCATGTTAAAAATATGACTCTATTTTAATTAAGGACCTGTAGATTTAATGAACAGGTGCATATTCCATACATCTAAACAAAATTAAGTTAGACTGTATTAGATCCAGAATTTAGATTCAGACTCTATGCATTGTGGGCTTGTTAAACATGCATTGGGATAATTTGTTAAGAGGTGTACAGTTCTGAAAATTCTGGTAATGGCAATTTCTTTGCTAAAAACATAAATCACCTTTTTAGTAGCTGTACATATTGCGTGCTGTAAAATCAGTTCATTTATCCACGATTCCCTCTTGTTATACTGTAGGGGCCAACTTGAACAAGAACTGAAACGGGAAAGAGACCGATGGTCACCAATCCACCAGGGCATCCAAGAAAACAAAATCACAGTAGCCCAAGGCAAGGGCTGCCAGAAGATGCAATTAAAAATGGTAATGTCACTGTTCACGTTTACATATGGTTTAATTTTAGCTACTGTCTCACCCTGAGCTTTGTGTGACTGCACATATGTGTTGCTGTTGTGCAGCAGTAGTAAAGGTATGAGGGTAGAAGTCAGGATACAAAAAGTTCATATAAATTTGTATTTAATTCACACACCATGAAATTGAAATTTTTCTTGATTATCAGCCTGAGATAGGTCTTTTTAAGAGCAACAAATTTAGCTGTACTATAAGAGTGTATCCCTCCCTCCCAGGTGTTGGACAGAATCTTGAAATTGATTGTGTTCATCAGCACTATTTACTAAAGAAAAATGCAGTATAAAAGATACTCTAATCACTACATCTCATTAAGAGTAAATCACTTTAAAATAATTTCACATTATCATAAGCAGGAAGTTACCATGCTGACTGTCTGAGAGAGAGTACAACTCAAGAAATGAAGCTGGCTTTTTAATGCATAAGAGCAGTATTTCAAAGTTGCAAGTTCTATTCTTGAAGAAAAAATTGGTTTTCATGTTAACTAAACTTGTCTTAAAACAACTTTGAAAATCTGATCTCTCGCTGTCTTGTTGTACATCATTAGACTTGGCTGTCTCCTGGGAAGTGTCAGGGAAAGAGCAGCTTTTCCTGAGACACAGCATAACTCTCAAGTATGAAGACAGTGAAATAGTACAGGGTATTTCTGTACTCTGCTAGATTTTTTAAAAAAGTGTTCTCAATGCTACTGGTTTAAAAAGAAAAAATTACTGAAGAACTAAAGAAGCCCTCCATGGAGAGAGCAGTACTACTGAAGTCTTGTGGGGAAACCCAGGGAAGATTAGCCACCTGAAAGAACAGGTGCTGCAATGTACATGCAATGTGTCTTGATAACTTAATTGTCAAAAGTATTGTGTATATCAACAGCCGTTACGCTACAATAACAAAAGGTGTCAATGAAAATTTTATTGCAGCTGGCTCTCAAAACCTGCTGCTGTTTGATCTTTCCAAACAAAAGCAAGCTATTCAGCTGCAAGGCAAAAATAATTATTTTCTCTCGTTGTACATGTTTCGTTGCTTCAGGGTTTGATTTTCTTTTTCTGATGTGCCTTTTTCTTCATGGGATCACCCTCCTCCATTTATGTGTTGTTGTGGAACACTGACTAGGATGGGACATTCATGTCTTTGTTTTAGGAATAAATGGGATTAATTTACAGAAGTATCTATTTATGTAACCGATCTGCTCCTTTAATTGTGTCTCGTGGTCTATGGACGGCTTACTTTTATACAGGTATATTATTTTAACAGCAGTTTAATGCCCTGTCTAAGCTGTAGTTCAGATTTCTAGCAACTATCATAGGCATGGATAGTGCTGAGAAAGTTCTAACATGCTCCTACCCTCACTAATACAGATAGCAGTTTATTTTCTTAGTCGTGTTGAAAAGTAATGCTGCGTTTGGTTGGGGATTTGCCTTTGTCTCATTTATAGATTTATTTTGACAAATATCAAGTGATATTTACCCTCCCTGCTTCTGCTATATCAGTCCAGGTGGCTGGGTTATGCTTCCTCCTTCCCAGTTCAAAGAAAAAAAAAAAGGTTAGATTACCTCTCTAAAAATCTGAAGCCAGCTTGGACATCTTTCAGTTTTTTTTTCTGCCCAGCAAGAGGAAGGCAAACAGCTAGTGTGCTTAGATTGGTGCTCGTGTACCACACTGGTGTGAGAGGTCAAAGGGTAGATTTTCAAAAGCACCCATGTGGTTTAGATACAGATCCCATTGGAAGTCAGTGGGACTTGTGTTCACTAAGTCATTTAAGCGGCCTTGGAAATCCCAGTCTAAATGCGTAAGAGTGCAGTTAGTAAAATACTCAAAAGACTCGTAAATATGTTTTCTTTTGACAGGATGGGAAGCAGAAAATCCAGGAAGAAAATGCCAGACTGGGAGAGCCTGGAAGAGGGGAAAATGCTGTTCTTCCAAACAAGTATGGAAAGATATCCCCTTTTTCTCACTTTCACAGTTCCTCCTCCTGTCTCTGTTCTTCTCTGCAATGTGAAAAGCAGTTTGTTATGCTCTCAGCTAAAGGTATCAATTACTGTGTTGGTGAGAATTTAGTTTTGTTGTGGGCTTACCCTTTTCTTTCGCTTAAAAAAAAAAACAAAAACAAAAAATCCAACCCTCACTGAGAAACTTAGTCATTTTCTCTTGTCCTAAATAAAACAATATGCTAAAATCTTCTAAGTGAAGTTTAAACGTTTCTGATTGAAGTGAAGACACTTGTAATTTGAGATTTTAAAGTTCCAGGGTGGTATGATCTGCTCTTCTCAATTACACAGTAACCTGGAAGAGAAACAGGGATTCGCTTTTAAGTGTGGGAAGTTGGCATTTCAGGATTTTAGGAGAGGTTCTGGGGTTGGTGCACACAGGAGTTGGTGTACTTGAAGTTTCCTGTTTTAGAGGTTGTTTTGGGCTTCTTCAATTGTAGTCTGCCTCATACAAGGAGGTCACAATATGGTTTATTTCTCAAACTGTTGGAAAAGACTCCAGCATTGTCTTTCCCACTGTGCTTTTTGTGGGGTTCAGAGGTTTGTTAGGGGTGTGTAACACACTCAGGGACTTGTCGAGTACTGCAGTTCTACCAAACAAAGGTTTGCAACTGTCTTTGTGCCCACGGTTTGAGGTTCTCCACTGTGTCTACTTCACAGCACTGAGTCGGGACACAGATTCCATTGCCAGGCATCAGGTTTTCTTGCTCTGGAATGGGGGAGGTGATGAAGAGATTCCTGGTCCTCTCCCAGCTACCTCTGAGCCACCTGATCTATGGCTGTAATTCTTCATTTGGAGAACATTATCCCTTAGGCTGACTTTTAGGCCTTGGCAGGGTAGGAGCTCTGCGTTCACAAATCTGAAATTGCAGGGACATGCCCCTTTGGTACTAGTGCGTCAGGAAAAAAGCCCTGTTCTTGTATTCAACTTTGGTATAGTATAATGTTGAGGACCAAGAACAAGATGTATTGGAGCCTAAAGATTGTGTTTTTTAGAGGGGGGTGGCTGGGTGCGGCTTCTAGAGAGAAATGGCTTCTATAATAAAAATAAAATCCTTACAAACATACTAATGTAAAAATCTCATTCAGGTAAGAGTTTAGTTTTTTTAAATGTGCTAAAGTGAATTGAACATAACAGCAGAAAATAAGCCTATGTTGTTTTGGCTGGGTTTTTGTTTATTGGGAAGATTATTTTTAAAAAAACCTGGAGATGAGGTAAAGACTCGTGTTCAAATGGGTAGACATTTTAAATTCATATTTCTTGTAGTCGGGAACCAGGTCTATAATCTGGATTTTGTTCAAAGCATAGCAAAAGACACTTTTATATAATCCCTTCAAATATCACTTTTGAAAATAAATGCTGTGTGAGAGACAGGTTATTATAAACTACAGGGGACCTGAAAAGGATCTTTTTTTATTAATTGGGCTTTTGTGCCCTTTTTAGCTGCTTTATAGTATATAAAATAGCCTGGAAGGTTTTAAGATTTTTTTCCCCCCTCCTTATTTTTACTTGCAATATATCAGAAATATGAACTCCTGTCTTCCCTGGTTTTGCAGGAGGATTTATGGGGAGAATGTAAGAGGAAGAATATTGTAAGCTTTCATGTTAGTTGAAGTTGTGGGGATGTTGAACCTTTAACAAAGACTTCTTTTTTTCCAAAACGTTAATTAGTTATTGAAGCTAAAGAGATATTACCAAAAGCCATTTAACACAGTCTGACTAAACATCCCTTCCCCTCTCATTTCTTTGTTTTTGTTCTAGGCTCTTGTGGTGATGTTTCACTTGTTCTCATCATAGTCTTCCCAGATAGACACGATCTACATTTCTTACATAAAAATAATGCAGAGAAGAAAACATTTTTGGGGAGGGGAAAAAACTTTTTGGGTCTCCTTCATATGTCATAAAGGAGGGAAGCAGCATGAGCCTAAGTGTGTAATTTTTCTTATGCAGATCATCATTAATGTATATTAAATGCATGATGGTGTGGTTAAAGGTTATATTAGCATGAGTTTGGGATGGGCACCTGTCAAGGCTGAATCCCCACTCGGTCACTTTGAGTGCAGAAGGTGGGGGCCCGCAAGGATTATAAAAATTAATACGTGCTACTCCAGGCTTGTCTTAAACTCCCAAGGTTACAGCTTCTCTCTGACCTTGGCTTGGTAAATGCTGCCACCACCCAAATGCAAAACCCCTTTGAAACCAGAAAGGCGCACTTGGGAATTTCTTCCCGTGGGGTATTCTCAAGCCCTTTCACGGCCCCCCTCCAGAAAGAGCTGAGAAAGAGAAAAACAAAGGAAATCAGCTGTTGCCACCAGCTAATTCAGTGGTGGGCAAACTTTTTGGCCCGAGGGCCACATCGGGGTTGCAAAAGTGTATGGAGGGCCGGGTAGGGAAGGCTGTGCCTCCCCAAAGAGCCTGGCCCCGGCCCCCTCCCACTTCCTGCCCCCTGGCTGCCCCCTTCAGAACTCCTGACCCATCCAACCCCCCTGCTCGTTGTCCCGACTGCCACCTCCTGGGACGCCCCACCCCAAACCGCCCCCCCAGTACCCCAACCCAAGCCCCCCTGCTCCCTGTCCCCTGACTGCCCCCCCCAACCCTTATCCACACCCCTGCCCCCCGGGACTCCCAAGCCTATCCAACACTCCCTGTCCCCGGACTGCCTAGACCCCTATCCACACCCCTGACTGGCCCCCCAGGACCCCAACCCCCCTGTCCCCTGACTGCCCCCTCCCCAAACCTCCGTCCCCTGCTCCCTACCCCCTGACTGCCCCTCGGGAGCCCCTGCCCCTTATCCACACCCCTGCCCCCCCCCCCCCTTCCTGCCCCCTTACCATGCCATTCAGAGCAGCAGGAGCTTGCAGCCCTGCTGGAGCCAGCTGCGCTGCCCACATGGTGGCATGGCTGCGGGGCAGGGGGGACAGCAGGGGAGGCACCGGGGGCTAGCCTCCCCGGCCAGGAGCTCAAGGGCTGGGCAGGATGGTCTTGCGGGCCAGATGTGGCCTGCGAGCCGCAGTTTGCCCACCTCTGAGATAATTGAACAACATATGCACAAACCTCTTAGGGACACAAAAATCCAATCCTGTTCTTAAAAAAGGTAAATTTTATTTAAAAACAAAAAGAAAGAAAATACATCTGGAACTTAGGCTTTTGCTAGATTCTAAAAGAGGAATTCCAAAAAGTAAGCACCCAAACTAGCTTCCTTGGGGGTTTAGCTTAAAGGTTATAAGCAAACAAAAGCATCTGGGGTTAGCACAGAGGAGATCCACACGCCAAAATAAAGAAATAAACCTGATCACGTCTATCTAAACATTCCCTGTCCCAATAATTCCTTCTAGGTATGGAAGATAATTTTTCATACCTGGTTCAAACCTTACACAGCATTGCTGCTCCATGTCCCTGCAGCCCAGAGAGCACAACAGACAAAAAGGGAGAGTTTCTTTCCCAATTTTAAAAAGTTCTACCTTCCCATTGGCTCTTTTGGTCAGGTCCCACTTCCTTTTCTTTACCTGGGGGACTTTTTAACCCTTTACAGGTAAAGCAAGCAGAGAACAGCTACCAAGAGTGATTTTTCAACTAACTGTCTGGCTGGGTGTCCATAAAAGGGAGGTATTCCCTCCCCCCTTCATTTATCACAGTACCTGATGCTCAGGTTGCAAAGTGTAATTAACAACTTTGCCACTAATGTGTAAGGGGACCATCGCACATTCATGCTGATAGGCTTTGACACCACAGCACCTAATTATGTATTCCCTAATACGTATTTGTTTATGAATGGTTTTACAGTTTGCAAGCATATGGAGTTCAAAATAGGTGTTTTTTATAAACCTCAAGAAATAACAAAAATGTGTAATAGTGTATTAAAAAAAAACCCACAAAAAAACAAGGAACGACTTCAGTGAGAATGGATCTGAGGCTCAAGCTATTTCCTTCTGGGAGATGTGGATAAAACGATACCTCTAACTTACCGTTTTCTTTTTTTATTGTAGGATACAGTCTGTCATACAAGAAGAGCAGGTTAGTATTTTTTCTGCTTATGTTGAAACATTAAAGTACAAATGTGATTGAAAAGTGTTATGTATTCACAATTTCTTCTTTAATCCATGCAACCTTAAAATCATAGAATCATAGATTAGGGTTGGAAGAGACCTCAAGAGGTCATCTAGGCCAACCCCCGCTCAAAGCAGGACCAACCCCAACTAAATCATCCCAGCCAGGGCTTTGTCAAGATATTCTGTATCAAAGTTGAGTCTTTTTCTACCCTCATGTAAATTGTGTGCCTGGTAAAGCACAGTTAGGATCAGAAAATTGATTATGAAAATGACATTAAAGTTTCATATTCTGTCTGCATCAGTGTCTTCAGTGTCCGTCAGGACCTGTTTACAATTAGAAAGATGGTTTGGTTTGAAACGCATGCGCACCGACAGCTCCCAGGCTTGCAGACTCGTTCGTTCTGGGCTCTGAATGTCAAGCTGTGTTCTTCCTGGTTCATGCATCATTGCCAGGGCTAAAGATTCTACAACTGGAATTCAGTTGGCAATGGTGTTTGTGCATTGTTGCCTGAAGCCAACTCACTCGTCCATGCAGTTTCCACTCTGCAAGGTTTAAGTATTTTCTTCTGGGACAGTAAAATACGATCTGTTAACACGCTCGGAGCAGAAATCTTGAATAAGAGAGTGCCATTTTATAGTCACTTTTCTGATCATAAACATGCCTTAAAGCTAATAGAACAGTAGAAAGTCACTGCAAATACTTCAGCCCTGTAATGGTAGCCTTAGATGTTATGAATGAGGGACTTCTAAAAATGTTTGAACTGACAGGAAAAAAGTTAATTAAAAATGTGAAATAAATGCCACAAGGTAGCTCGGTTGTAGGATAAGCATCAGTTATAGAGATCTAGTACAAGTGTGTGTGTCATGTGCATATGGATAAGTGGAAAGCAAAAGAGAGTGAAGCAAAACAAATACGACTAGGATGCCCAGTATCAGAGGGGTAGCCCTGTTCGTCTGGATCTGTAAAAGCGGCAAAGAGTTCTATGGCACCTGATAGACTAACAGACGTATTGGAGCATAAGCTTTCGTGGGTGAATACCCACTTTGTAGGATGCAAAGCTTATGCTCCAATAGGTCTGTTAGTCTATCAGGTGCCACAGGACTCTTTACTACTAGGATGTGTAACTGTCAACTGAATTGAGCTGGTAAGGATTTCCATGTTGGGAACCAGATCCTCCCACAGCCCTGGCATTCTCCGAGTGCAGAGAAACAGTCAGTGCAAAGGTTGGGCAGAGAGGCTGCAGCCTGAGCACCAGCGAACTAGACTAGACAGAAGAATGGCTTCTTTACACTTTGCATTAATTTGTGGAAAGCGCTCCGACATCTTTGCAATGAGTGTGGTACAAATGCAGAGAGTGACTGAGTGTGTGTGTGTCTCCCTGACCCATCTGCACAAGTGCTCAATGACCTGTCTTCAGGTTAGGAGGAAGGATCAGTCTCCCCACAGCAGCCTTGTTGACTTGATAAATGTAGCCCTTTTACTCTGGCTTTGGGCACTCCAGGACTCAGTGGATGAAGCCAACATTCAGGGAGTCAGTCACACTCAGTGATGTGGATTCTGGAAGTTGATTGGCCAGAGTTAAGTACTTCTTCCCAGAAGAACAGTTTGTCCTGTGATTTTTCTGAATGGTTTGCGGTCCTGTTTGTGTGTATGCACAAATCAACGCTTCCTGCAGGCTGCCCGCTTTCTGAGCAATCCGACTGTGCCTCAAATTGACTAGGAAAAGGGAAAACTGCGCTGAGGGTGGAGGGTAGCAGACACAAGCAATAATATTGAAATGGAGGGTGCAGGAAGAGTAATGCTGAGCAATTGTTTGTTTTTGTTAATGATTTAGGAGCTGCCATCTGGACCTGGAAAATCACAGCTATGCCAGCTGTGCCAAGAGGAAGGCAGTCTCACCAAAACAAAGGTAACTTCAGTTAAGGGGAGGCTTGTGTGTCTTGGCCAGCCTGGTAGCACATGTTCCCTTTAAGTTAATTTTCTAAAAGCTGATAAATACAAGTAGATTTCCCTTTAATTACCTGGGTACCAGGCAGGGGTGAAAGTAAGTCTAGGGACTTACCAGTACAGGGCTGGGCTGGGGCTGGCTCTGGCCTCCAGAAGGGGCGGGGCCTCGGGGGGAAGGGGCGGGGCTGGGGGTCAGAGCAGGCCCCAGCCTACCCTGTACTGGCAAGTGCCTTCTTCCCCCTCCCCAGGGTAACAGCGGCAGCCGGGGGCTGTGGCAGCGGTTTAAAGGGCCCTGGACAGTAGCAGTGGCTGGAGCCCTGGGTTCTTTAAATGGTCCCCGGAGCCCCGCCACTGCTTCCCCAGGGCTCCGGGGATGGGGCTCCAGCCACTCCTACCACCCTTGGCCCTGTAGATCTCTGCCCCAGCCCTGCTGCCGCTACCCCAGGGCTCCGGCAGCGGGACTCTGGCAGCAATTTAAAGGGCTGGGGGTTTCAGCCGCTGCTGGGAGCTGCAGGCTCTTTAAATTGTGGCTGGGGAAGCTGATCCACCCCTGGTACGGCGCACCGGCTTACTTTCACCTCTGGCACCAGGAAATACATGTTTGTCCACCTTCCCATTAGGACAAAGCTGTTAAACGAGAGGGCTTCAGGATCCTCCATGCCACCTGCTGTTGACACTTGCAAATGATAAATGCTGGTATGCTTCCATCCCCTGAAGAGCTGCTTTTAATTCACGCCCCATCCACACCTGGGAGCACAATCAGCCCTCTCCCTAGAGTCTGCCAGTAGTGAGCATGTCAACACATAGTTTATTTTATTTTTCCACTTCCTTTCCTGCCACCTCCCCCTTATCTTCACTCTTTTCTCTCCTCTCACTCTCTTTTTAAAAGGTCACTCTTCTTCTCTTGCCCTTCCTCCTTTCCAGAATCACAGAAATGGTGCCATACAATAGGCCTCATCTCAGACAGAGAAAATGAAGCCCTAATTAAATTAACTTCCCTTTCGCATCCCTGCTGCTAAGGTTGCTAGGTCCTCTCTCATATGTGGAGCTACTGAACTCTTCCCAATAGCACTGAGAGAGCTACATAGGAAAACCCCTATGTGAGGTGTGTCCTATTTCCTCTGGCAAGCTGGTAACATCACTGGGAGACCCACCTAATCCCTCCTGCATAATTGGCATTTTTTCCTGAGATTTGCTTGTGTTCCATAAAGATTTGTCCCATGTTATATAGGGCACTAGCTTTAACGCTCTAAAAATTACTGCTATTAGAAGGCAGCCTGGGTCACATTTCCATTATGGATACTTTCATGGAGAACTTGAAAGCCTTTTTAGTATATCTGCCAAGGCCTGAACTGAGGGGTTCTGTGTTTCCTCTGGAACTACAGACAGTGTCACTGACAAGGAATTGAGCAAGGAGCTGCTTTCTTGACAGTATTAGGTGTCAAGGACACCAGCCCTTATGGCAAGAGAGAGACAGATCCCTGAATTCCCATCTCACAGGTACGTAAAGCAGCAACTTAAACAATTGGTGTAAACCATGTCCTTTTTATTTTTGAATACATGCTGCTGATAGTATGGAGTCTCAAATATGGTTTCTGTAGAAGCTTTTCAGCTTGCCTTTAGGAAGCACACCAGTTAAAAGGACTGCAAATTCCAGCATGTCTTATACCAGCTTTTTTTTATAAATCCCCAAATATGAGAGTAGTGTTTGGTTGTAGATAGATATCAGTATAACTTATGCACATACATCCATACACACCCCACATATACGTGTATATTAGGGCCGTCAAATGATTAAAAAAATTAATTATGATTAATCAGTTTCCATGGCACTGTTAATAATAGAATACTAATTTAAATGTATTATAAATATTTTGGATGTTTTTCTACATTTTCAAATATATTGATTTCAACTACAACACTGAATATAAAGTGTAGAGTGCCCACTTTATATTATTTTTGAATACAAATATCTGCAATTCAACAAAGATGAAACAAAAGAGCGTAGTTTGCAAGTTGAAGCATGAAGGGGCATACGAATGTTTAGCATATTTAGCATGTAAATACTTCGCAACACAGGCTACAACAGTGCCATGTGGATGCCTGGTCTCACTTTCAGGAGATCTTGTAAATAAGAAACAGGCAGCAGTATCTCCTGTAAATGTAAACAAACTTGTCTGAGTGATTGGCTACACAAGATATAGGATTGAATGGACTTGTAGGCTCTAAAGTTTTACATTTTGTTTGAGTGCAGTTATGCAACAAAAAATTCTTCATTTGTAAGTTGCACTTTCATGATAGAGATTGCACTGCAGTACTTGTATAGGGTGAACGGAAAAATTGTTTTGTTTTTTTACAGTGCAAATATTTGTAATAAAAAATAAAGTGACCACTGTACACTTTGTACTCTGCGTTGTAACGGAAATAAATATATTTGAAATAGGGCTGTCAAGTGATTAAAAAAGTTACTGATTAATTGCACTGTTAAACAATAGAATATCATTTATTTAAATATTTTTGATTTCTACATTTTCAAATATATTGATTTCAATTACAACACAGAATACAAAGTGTACAGTGCTCATTTTATATTTATTTTTATTACAGGTATTTGCACTGTAAAAAAAAAATAGTATTTTTCAGTTCCCCCATTACAAGTACGGTAGTGCAGTCTCTTTATCATGAAAGTTGAACTTACAAATGTAGAATTATGTACAAAAAAACCTGCATTCAATGTAAAATGTTAGAGTCCACTCAGTCCTACTTCAGCCAATCGCTCAGACAAACAAGTTTGGTTACAATTTGAAGGAGATAATGCTGCCCACTTCTTGTTTACAATGTCACCTGAAAGTGAGAACTAGCCTTCACATGGCACTGTTGTAATGGGTGTCACAAGATATTTATGCGCCAGGTGTGTTAAGGATTCATATGTCCCTTCATGCTTCAACCACCATTCCAGGGGACATGCGTCCATGCTGATGACGGGTTCTGCTCGATAATGATCCAAAGCAGCGTGGACTGACGCATGTTGATTTTCATCATCTGAATCAGATGCCACCAGCAGAAGGTTGATTTTCTTTTTTGGTGGTTTGGGTTCTGTAGTTTCTGCATCTGAGTGTTGCTCTTTTAAGACTTCTGAAAGCGTGCTTCACACCTCATCCCTCTCAGATTTTGGATGGCACTTCAGATTCTTAAACCTTGGGTCGAGTGCTGTAGCTATTTTTAGAAACCTCACATTGGTACCTTCTTGCATTTTGTCAAATCTGCCGTGAAAGTGTTCTTAAACGAACATGTGCTGGGTCATCATCCGAGACTGCTATGACATGAAATATCTGGCAGAATGCGGGTAAAACAGAACAGGAGACTTACAATTCTCCCCCAAGGATATAATTAACACATTTTTTAACGAGTATCATCAGCATGGAAGCATGTCCTCTGGAATGGTGGCCCAAGAATAAATGCAATGCAGGCTATAAAAGTGCCATGCGAACACCTGTTGTCACTTTCAAGTGACATTGTAAACAAGAAGCAGGCAGCATTATCTCCTGCAAATTGTAACCATGCTTGTTTGTCTGAGCAATTGGTTGAAGTAGGGTTGAATGGACTTGCAGGCTCTAAAGTTTTACACTGTTTTATTTTTGAACGCAGTTCTTTTTTTGTACATAATTCTACATTTGCACGTTCAACTTTCATGATAGAGATTGCACTAGTATTAGGGTGAATTGAAAAATACTATTTCTTTTGTTTCTTACAGTGCAAATATTTGTAATAAAAATAAAGTGAGCACTGTACACTTTGTATTGTGTGTTGTAATTGAAATCAATATATTTGAAAATGTAGAAAACATCCAAAAATATTTAATAAATTTCAATTGGTATTGTATTAACAGTGCAATTAATTTTTTAACTCATATTTGTTAATCATGTGAGTTAACTGCGATTGACAACCCTAATTTGAAAATGAAGACATCTAAAAATATAATTTAAATTGGATGCTGTTAAGTGTGATTAAAACTGATTAATTTTTTTAATTGAGTTAATCGCTTGAGTTAACTGTGACTGACAGCCCTAATGTGTATGAAATTAAAAATACACATGTAGCTCTGGTGGATAAGACTTTTACTACTAGGGTTTCATATATAGTTGTGTGTTCTGATTAACTAGCATTTGAATTTTAAAGTATTGATTGCTTAAATTGATTCTTGCCAAATCACATCTGAGTACAGTTTGGGAAATTTGCTCCAGCCTGTTCTTGAGATTGTGATCTGAAGTCCTGATTTTGATTTTTACTCTCTGGGTTTAGGAACTCTGCTGAAGTAACGTTCTCATCCTTTGGGAAAGAACCTTCTGTTCCTCAAAGGTTGGAGGAGGGGTCAATAGGTAATCTTTAGTGATGGGTGAGGGACAGAAGCTTTAGGTGCCCTTTGCAAGGACAAAGTAGTCTTTTGGCCAACTGAACATTAGGGAGAAAACGTGATTACTTCACATGGTGTTGTTGAGCCCCTTGTGATTGGCTGGTGTGGTCTCATCTCATTAACAGTAGTTTCCACTTTTCGTTCCTCTTTCCCTTTTTTAGAACATTTGCAAGAACTGTGACGGAATCTTCTGCAAGGCCTGTTCAGCTAATGAACTGCCCCTTCCATCCAGCATTAATCCAGAGTGTGTTTGCAACACATGTCACAAACAGCTGATACAGCAATATTCAACAAGCCCATTGTAGGACTCCGCATGGGGGACAGTGATGGCCAATCAAGGTTTTTGGCCCAGCTACAAAATCTTGTACTTTAGGCTTGGCTCTGAAGCTGTTCAGGCGAGTTTCTAGAGAAGAATCTCTCTTCCCTCTGCTCTTGCAAGGTCAAAGAGAGGAAGTACATTCTTGTGTTCACATTCTCTCTCAACTGTCTATTTAAAATGCTGGTCTGAGCCCTCCTTTAGGAAAACACCCCCCCTTTCAGGCATGAGCTGCTGTGTGAAGAACTTGTCAGAGTAGCCTTAATACATGTACCATGGCAACTGCAAGAAGAGGTAAAAACACACGTACAAAGGTTTACTTAAGTGTTTTGTTTGAAGGCAAAATGGAAGAAAACGGATGATAATTGAAACAAAGAACAGAGTTATTGTTCACCAGCATGTGTAGCTCTGCTTGAAATAACACTTTCCCTTTTCCATTCTGTCCTTGGCAGTTCTACTGAACGGTGATGCTCCAGTTCAAAGAGAGAAATCCCACAAAAGAACTGGGAATTAAACATGTGTGTGGCACATTGTTACTCAATTCAGTCCCCTCTTGGGCCCCAGTCTGGTTGTGTGGCATAACATCAACAGTTGAGGGGAAAGATTTAAAAGATTTTGGGGTTATTTTTTTGAGGCGTGAGAGAGAGAGGAGAACTGAATAGCAGCCATTTCGCTCAGCACAGTACGCTTGAAAGTTCTCATAGCACAATCCTCAAACATTATTTAAATACAGGTTTGTTTTTTGGTAAAAACAGGTACCTCTGAACTTTTATAGTGGAGGTTCTCGTTGTGACTTATGATAGCTGTGAATTTTAGACTCTAAATCTGTTTTATCTTGACCTGATGATTAGAGGATGGATTTAGATTCCAGAATATTTAAAGGGAGGGGAAAAAAACTGGTCTTTCTTTAAACAGACCATTTAGGGGCATGTTTGTACATTCTGTCCAACATACTGCTCCTACTAATTTTGTGCACATTAATCAGCTGTTCAAGCAGCAAATGTGGTGGTCTTTATTTAAATATAGTCATAAGACTGATCAATTTTTAGCCACAAGAAACAGTGGCTGTTAGCAGGAGGCTCAAATGTGCTAATCTGAAATTCACTTTCAGATAGGTTTTATGGTTCATACAAAGATAATCTGACATAAGATGTCATATTTAAGGCTTCTGTACTCCACCAAAAGGCGCCACTTGTACTTCTCTTAGGGCTCCAGCCTCCCCCTGTGCCAAAACAGCAAAATTACAAATGCTGGTATGCATCCCTCCCCAAAGAGAGGGGTTTAGTTTATTTGGCCTATTTTGTATTAGAAACTGAACTAAACCATTAAGACCACAGAATGTATTATAATCTTTAGAAAACTGATTTATGTATATTTGTGTATTCAGGGGTGTTGCATTAATTTTACTACAAATCTATATTTAGGGAAACCTAGTTTTTCTCCAAAGGTGATTATATGCAAATTAAATCTGTTAGAACTACACTGAATGCATGTAGTTCTATCTTCCTGCAATTGTCTATAACTTAACTTTTCAGGAGGAATTAAAAAATGAAGTAGCTTTGTGTTTGGAATCTAAGTGGAAATATAGGGTGCTTTCATACATTCACTTTCTAGTTTCCAGGAAGAGATGTTTGTTTTTTTTAATTAGGGTCACCAGTGCAAAGTCAGGGACAGCACTTTGAATGACTGGAAAAGATACTTTACTAATGACTCTTTTGCCTGAAGGTGAGGTTGATTGCTTTTGCAGGGAGGATAAATATTCAATATGCATATACTGTACAAATCTACACAATTTTAAATAGGCTAGTTGAGTTGGTTTTGTTTTTCTGCTAGTCTGATGGAGTAGAAACTGAAATTTAAGCAATTCTGATAGCATTTGGATATCAAACTGGAAACAGTACTTAATTTTAATGTGTAAATGCTGACATGTCCACATTACCTTGTGAGTGTGATCAGAAGTTCTGAGATGGTAGCTGATTCCTTGGTTGCCTTTGTACCTTTAGATAGTCACAAAAAGGAAGATGGCTGCTACTACCTTTAGATATTAATACTGCAACTCTAAAGTCTCCATTTTAAAAAGCACGATAGTCATTTACATAAAGAAGTTATCCAAGTTACATAAAACCCACTGTGCTCAACTTAACAAGTTTACTTCAGCCATGATGAGTTAGTAACATATCTGTGTACAGCTTAGATTGAGGAAGAGAGCTAAAATTAAATGTCAGAATTACAAGGTGAGCTCCAAGATGGCTCCTACCTATGTCCTTTGATGTCATCTTAGAGACTTGTAAATGCAGTGTTGGATACCACTTGCTAAGGGAAATTCTTCAAGCATGTTTGTAGGTGTAGCTCTGAAAACTGAGGGGGAGAGGGAAGGTATTTTCTGGCACTGTTCCATGCAAAATAAAACTATTTGAGAAAGTATTTTTAATCAGTTGCTTCTCATTTCTGCTTGTGTATTGTTATGCACTAGGCTGAGTTGTAACCTTAAATACATCACTATCTGGAAGGTGGCCCTTGTATTAAAAAGCACTGTTTGCTAGCTCTGAATGTTACCATTTACACAAGTGGCACCTTCTTCATCCGTTTTGCTGGTTGTGTGGCCTTCGTTTAATCACCTGTTTTTAGTGGCACTGCAATAGTGTGCACCTGAGAGTGAACAGCAGATGTTTCTTAAACTCCAAGGTATGAAAGACAATGTGGATTACACAGCTGTTAGTGTAAGGCTATTTTGGCCTCTACCACTTATTACAAAATGTAATCGCTGAGGGAACTCAGCTTGGCTCTTAAACCTAGGATGAGGTGGTAGAGCTTTGTCAGACTGGAGCACTGTTGAGCCAGGAAACACTGAAATGTAAACAGAGCCCCTCAATTTCCCCCAAACACTTTGTTTAGGGACTGAGTGGGTTATGGTGGTATAATGTAATCCTTTCTTTCCCAGCTGTTTAAAGCTGTGCTTGATTTTGTCTTGTGGGGGACTGGAAAAATAAGGATGTATACGTTAGATACATCTAAACTATAGTGTTTCCCATTGATATCACAAGCTATGCCTCCCTGTGAACTTCAGCATGCACTCACTGAGTGTGTGGAGCTGGGACAATAAAATGGAACTGTGAGGAAGGCTGTGGTCCAGATGAACAACTGCCAAACCTTACCCTTGCACCCTGTTAAACTAAGCAGCAGCACCTACAAGTGATGCTGTATGCCTTCATGGGTGATAAATTTAGTACCATAATCAGGCCTAAACTCTACTACTAAAATCTCATGTGGTTTTACAGTATCCTGATCATTGACTTGCAAGTGCCAGTGTCCATTTTAAAACATGTTAGCCAACCTCAAAGGCAAATATAGTGATAAGTCTCAGACTCCCGTATACCTCTCCCCCAAATCACATTTGAGGACCAGGCCCATTTACATCTCTGTAACTTCTAGTGCATGGGGGTCTATACTACTGCTTAAGTCCATCTAACTTACATCCCTTGGGTGTGACAGACACCCCACTGAGCAAGACACATTACAGCAACTTAAGTACTGTCCATATCAGCACTGTCAGCCGGACACACACTTCCACCTGTCATGGAGGTGGAATAGTTGTGCTGATGCAGCGCTTCTAGTGTAGAGCTGCCCTCTGTCAGAACACAATATAGTGAATATTGTACCCTTAAGCAGTCTGTCCATTGGGAAAAATTGATGCTTTGAAAGATGAGATTTTAAAGAGGCATTAATGCTCTTATCTACTGTAAATTCAGTAACAGTTTAACCAAGGGAAAGTGGAGAAAGCCTTACTCAGAATATGGGAAGAGTACAGAACTTGCGCCACCATAGTATAAGAAAAAAGTGAAATGAAATTAATTTCACCATCACAATAAAAGCTTGTCATTTTGAGTAACTGTAAAATCTTAAGCATTTTCCAACTGTGTACTGAGTCTAGCTTCATATAGCTACTGCAGTCTCCCAGCCAAGTACATGGGGAAAAAGCAGTGCTATTATACAATACGCAGTTTAGAAACGATCCAGTAAAAGCAAATATGAAACATCTTTGATTAAATTTTTGGGTAGGTGCCTTTAAGCACTAAGAGAACAGTTACCTTTCACCTCACAGACTGTACGTAAATTTGTAGAAGTTTAATAAGCTCAGGCAATTTCAAAGTGTTAACTCCATCCTTAAGCACAATGGGATGAGGGATGCCTGTTTTAGATGACAAAGGAAAGCACCTGTTAAAACAATAGGTAAGAGTTGTGGAACCATTACAAAATCTATATTAGAAACACATTCTGTGTTTTAGACTCTCTCTCTACCATGCTTTTGCATTTCCAAGCATTTTCTAGGATATTTAAATTATACAAAGCTATGAGGTAGTTGGGCTCTCGTTAAGTTGACAGCATTGTTCAGAGGGTGCTCAACTATTGCTGGAATCTTTAAACAAAGGGTTCTTACCTACTAAGAACTGTTAAGCAGCTTAGGTCAAAAATAAACTGTTGAACAGTAATGCAACAAGTAGGTGATATTTCAGTCACAGCAACAACCTAGATCAGAACTTACCCCTGCCTGTACTGTAACAATTACTATAATACAAGGACAGTTTATGGAATCAACCTTAATTTTGTTTTTACAGACAATTTCCACAGTGTGAAAACCATTTATTGTGCGCTTTACTACACAAACCCATGCTGAATAGTTTTAGATACAGATTGAATTGCCTTTGGAAAAACAAGATGTCCTCTGTGGTTTATCTTTGCTACCGAACAGGAGCACCTCCTTCTAGCTCCAAGAATGATGAGCAAACGAAACAGTTCTTGCTTCATTCTGAAAAGAAAGGAAAAAATGTTAGAGATTGGGTATCAGAAGCTCTCATTTGGCAAATGCTAACTTTTTCTTCCACCCCAACACCCTTCCCCTAGTGGTGTTTGAGAGTTCTCTACTCTCAACAACTCTTAAGTTGTCAGGAACACTCAAAAGCTTACCTAAATTAAGCCACCACTGAAACAAGCAGCTCTTTAAAATGGTATAAGCAGGTCCTCTGACAAGTCTGCTGAACTGGAGGAGATCCAAGCCCAGAGCTAAACCAAATCATGCTCTGCAAATTAACCCATTTTCAATAAGACTGCTCACCAGCATGCCCATTAAAGAGGTCATAGATAGTGCTAAATACTCCTATCAGACTTTGCAGCAGACGTGTAGTGCAAGGGTAGAACAGTTACTGCTTCCTCAAGTAACAAAAAGCAGTGTTGGAGATGGTCTTCAAGTTATGCATGGGATAAGTGTCTGCTACACCTGGCAAAGAAGATCAAAGCCTTGAAACTCAACTAGTCTCTTACCTCTAACCTAATCAATGTAGCACTTGAGCAGGTTCCATCTTCCACTGCATTTGCTACAGAGATCAGACTAGGAAAGTGAAGGGGGAGAGATGGGAACACTCTTCTATGCAAGGAATATATTCTAAAGTTCTACTCAATCAAAAAAAGTTAATTTAAAAAAATAAAGCCAACATTTATATTTTGCACAAAACACTTAAGGGAAGAATCTACAATTGTGTCTCAGAGCCCTATAGCCTGAGGACAATCTCCCTGCAGCAGGACAGCAGCCCCAGGTGTTCACTGCAGGCAACTACATATCAGGTTAAATAGGCTTCAATCAGCAACAACTTCAACTGCATGTGTTTAATCTCCACCCCTTTTTCTTGGCTCAGCTGATCCAAGTATTATGCTCCTGTGGAGCATCTTGCTTTCTTCCACCTCAGTGCTTGAACAAAGCTCATGATGGTTCTCTATCAGGTGGACTTCATGTAGCAGGCTCACAGTCCAAGCACAGCCACAACATGGGCTTTTTAAGAATGACTGAAAGCCAGCGGTTATCATGAAAAGCCTTAAAAGACGTTTGCTTAAGTGAACAAATTTTGACACTGGCCAGTGGCAACAACACTTGACTCAGAGGAGGCTGGATCAAAAAAGTTAAGATTGCTCTCTCACATACATTCTCTCATTTGCCCAGTTCCATCACCCATGATGTAGGCAACATATCTCCCATGTCACCAAGAAAGAATGTTGAACAAGTCAGCTATTTCAAATGCTATCAAGGGTTACAAGTTTTGCTTCTCATGGCACTCCACTGCTGTAGAAATGGTCAATACATTTTTCAGGTACACAACTCACAAAAATTAGTTCCACAACTGAGAAACTCATGAGCCTAGGCTTTCATTTCACCTTCCACAGTAACCAGAGAATCAGTGGATTTGGGTTGGGGGTGGAGTGGGGGGATGACACTTTAAAATCTGAATTCCAGCACAAGTTCACTGCTTAACTGAGAGTCCTATCAATTTCTGTCCAGCAAAAAAGAGTCTGACGTGCCACAGCATCCCACTCAGTTCTGTCATGCTTCACTGAGTATTGTCTAAATGAGGGCCTCATCCAACTCCATTAAGGAAAAGAATATTTTAAACAGGAGTTGGATGGGGTCCTTAGGTCAAAATGTTCAAATTTGGGTGCCTGAAATAAGACCTCTGAGAAATTCATTATAAATTTAGATGCTTAACTTTAGGTATGGTTGTTTGAACAGTCTAGACTTAGATTTTGACTTTAAGCTACTTGTCTTAAATAGCTGAAGTACTGCATACAGGCAGTGTGCTATATGAGTACGCCTATGAAATAAGGGTCAAATTGTCCATCTTTGGAAACAGCATGCATTTCAAGTGGGGGAAGGAGTTAATACACTTACCTAGTCTGAGATTGTGCCACTGTCACTAGCAATCTTGTTTTCTTTTTGGAGATGAATTCAGAAATAATTCAATATATCTATGCTCTGGGGAATAATTACAAAATGGTTTATAACGTTTCTGAACAACAACAAAAAAGTAAGCCTGTATAGTGCATACAACAGACACACTGAGCAGAGTTAAACATTTCAGGCCTGAACAATTCAAGGCCTAGACATTGAAAGGTACTCTGTACTACGCGATCAGTAGACAGCTCAAGGCCTGACAAGATGTTCCAGATGACTGGCACTACCGGGCTCCACAGCAAGACTGCACAGCAGAAAGACATGCAAGCACTACTTACGCACGTGTGACCTGTCCTTAGCCATAGCAGCAACTGCATCTTCATGAGTCTCAAAATGTACATCTGCTTCTCCTGTAGCTTTCCCACTGGAATTATATTCCATGGTGATTTTTGCAGGTTTCAGTGGAGCAAAAAACTAAAGAAAACAAAACCTAAGTATATATGGCTAGCAGGTAAGAGTCAAACTGAAAGGCAAGATGGAGCAATGGGGAGGAGGTAAGCTATGCAGTTTAATTCTACAAGTTTATTGCAGTGTTAATATTTCAAACCTTGGGAACTCCTATTTGATAGAATTAAAATGTTTTACAGTTAGTTACCATTTTTCTTCCGCTTATATACAAGATTCCTTCCAGCATCCAAGTTAGCTGACCATTTTGTTACAACTTGGTTTCTCACTATAAAGGGAATACCCAAGTTGAAGTAAAATGGTCAGTTAAATTTGCTGCTGCTTAGATAAGCACAATCATATTTATCTGAACCCTTTTTATTCGACAAACCCTTTTGACTAAATTTGCTCATGTGCCCTGACATTCACCACCTTGCATGGAAAAGTGTCCTGTTTGTCAGAACAAACACCATGTCTCCTACCTCTATTTAGATTAACTATTTCCCCTCCCCCCACCAGAAAATAAAAAACCCTCAGCTGTATCGATTGCATAGCCATGCTTACAGCTAAACATGGGGACAAATGCTGGTTATATTGGACAAATCTTATCAAACCCATTCAGTTTTAAAACAAGATTTTTTTGATTGATCTGCAGAGAAGTTTATTTAAAAGATCTGGCATGAACACGTACACAAGAGCAGTCACCCACAGTGGTATGCCTTAGGCTATTGAAAAAATCTGTTCTTATCGTTCTCTTTTAACAAGACACACATGCAAGACAGAATGGGGAGAAGAAAGCAGGACAGTCTATTTTGTTTAACATCTTTACCCAAAAATATTCTCCTAGTGAAGCTTCACGCTCTGCTGTTCTTGTTACTCTTTGACTTCACCTTAGTTTTACCTTTTCCCCCAGGCTCTGCTATTAGCAGTACTAGCTCAGATACTTTAGCACAAAACCGAGGCCTGGCAGCACTTTAGAACAGACCATTTGAACAGTGCCTACCACAATGACACAGCAACTTAGTTGAGGCCTCTAGGCTCTACTGAACCATAAAATGTTAAATAAAATAAGCAAGACGGAGGACTCGGCTATGGAATAATGACCTCTATTACAGCCTCAGATACCACAAGCCAAGTGACTTGTAACAGAGCTAGGAGGATTTTTTTAGGCCTGAGAATTTTCACACTCCGAGGCAGAAATTGTATGTGCATCTACCAAAAGTTAAATTTACAGTAGTAAGTGGGGCACTTTAACTATAAGGATTTAATTAGCTATTGAACCTGTTCTACCCACCCATCCCTTGACTTCTGCTCCCACCCACCATCCCCCACAATGTGTCTGAATCTTGTCCTTTCAACTCTTTAAAACATCCTGAGTTTCCGCATGCAATCCATCTGGAAATTAGGCAGCATTAAAATATTTATAGTGCAAAAGGTTGATACTCTTCAAAGTGTAATCAGGGTTTAAATGGTCACCAATGCTGTATATTCAAGTGATCATACTGTAACGTACATTTACAATGTCTTGGGCACTAGCTTGGAAAGGCAGACCTCTCAGATGGACAAAATGCAGCGGTGATGAGGTACTTCCGAATTCTGAAGCATCCCGAGGCTTTTCAATCACTTCTCTATAAGATTCTTCACAGGTGAACAAAAGTAGCGTTAGTACTTGCAACATTACACTCTTCCATAAAAATGGTTTGTATGCATGTGTACACAGTGCAGACAAAAGCAAGAGTGACAAAATGCAAAGGAGCTTCAAAGAACAAACGCAACAACTCACCGTTTTCTTTTTCACTTTCACAAGCTGCTGTTGGTCCTAGGGTCTGACTCAATTCATTTTCTTCAAAGACTGATTCGGATTCTTTTATCAGTTTAGCAGTTGGATAAGTATTCTTCATCATCATCTTCCCCCTGTACGAACCGCTATGGGTTCGAACTTCACTCCTCCTACTTGGAAATATTTCTATATATCTAGATTTAAAAGGTAAAAGGTAAAAGGATTACATGGTATGCCTACACACCCATCGAAAGAATACTGAATTTTCAAAAATGTTCAATTACTTTCAAGTGTCGTGCTATCAGAGTTCCTACTGGATGCTGCTTTGTGGGAGCTGAAAATCACGTATCACAACTTGCAGCTAGCATGAGATTCATTAAGAAGCAGAGAATTCTGGACAGTCATTTTAAAGCTAAGTTTTCAACTGCACCAAATAAGCCTACCTCTGCAACTTAAAATTAATCTTTTAAAGCTTTAGAAAACTACTTGCTGCTTCTCCGGAGTAAATCCAAAATGGTCACAGTGATTTCAAGTGTTAATGGGATTCTAAAACCCTGCAGTTTGTTCAACACTTATGTGACTATGTAGCCACTTGAAGGGTGGCTACATTTGCAGCACTCCTACAGACCAATTCAGTACTAAAAATAGCAGAATAAGTTAGAAAAGCATGTAGAAGAAAATAATGTTCTGATCCATACATAAGCACAGTTCCAAAGAGCATGAGATGAAACAATTGTATCAGATGAAGAAAGTGGAAGTGTGGTGCTCTAATGGCATGCACTGACTTCATACAGCTACATTTCATTAAAGCTTTCAGTACAGTCCTGTCTAGAGTTGAGTTAAAGTTTACCTAGAAATACTGAGGTTTTGATACAAAACTGGTTGGGCCATAAACAGTGTAATTGCAAAGGATCCAGAATCAAATTAATCAGGGTAAAAGATGCAAGCATAAGAGGGACAAGTGTCTTATCCTAACTGAAATCCACTGTAAAATTACAGCCCTCATCCTTCAAGGAACAAATGCACCAACACCTCTGTGTTCCTCCTTCCATAATTCTCTACCTCAATAAAATCATCAAAAGGACCGAAGCAAGCCTGTAGCCATTCTGGGTCTTTAAATCTTACAAGCTATTAGGTATCATGCAATCCACGGTACTAAATCCCAGAGCACTTAACCGGGAGTGCTGAAATTATGAAAATGGCAATCAAAAGTGCTGAGCCCCTTCAGAAGGGCTCCTAAAAGACAAGAATGAATATTCAGGAAGATGGGGAACCCAGATATGGTGCCCAGGGACATTAGGAGCCACCAGAAAAGAGAAAAACCACATTTCTGTGCAACAGTCATGATAATAAAAGCCACACAGAACATCAATTTGGTATGGACAAGATCTTTAGTCTACAGTGTAGCTGAAGTCGACGTATCTTTGATAGACTTAGAATCACTTACTTCGCATCCTCGCAGTGCGGGATTGATGGACTCCACTTCCACCTCTCACCCTGGTGGGGTTCCAGAGTCAACAGCAAGCGATCGGGGATCTATTTATCACATTTACACTAGACGCGATAAATTGATCCCCGATAAATCAATCACTACCCGCTGATCCGGCGGGTAGTGTAGATGTGGCCTCTTAAATGGAGTCTACTTCAGTGTTTGAAAGGATGCTATCAACTTAATTCAGAACCAAAATTTACATTTTGTTGCATAAATAATAATTTTTATTTTAAAAAAAATGCTATTTTTAAACTTCTCCTGTAGCAGTATGAATTCCGGTGGATCAGCACTGTACTAGTGCTGAAAAATAAACCATCTATTCTATTTTCAGTGGCTAAACAGATGCAAGCTGCATGGACAGTGGAAAGTCACTTAGAATGTCCTTTCTCTTTTAATAATTTAAGGTGCTATTAGATGTAACACAAGGAAATATTAATAAGGAAGTACAGTTAATAACAAACTTAGATTATACAAAATTAGTCAGGAATCAAGAAAAGAGTGGAAGATGATTGCCAAGGGGCCCAATTTTTAAAGAATGGAGTGAAAATCAATGGGATAACACACAATTTAGATAAACAGAAAGTTCCAGAAAAACAGACCAAGATGAACTGCAATATCAAGGAATATTAATAGGACCCCATTCATATGAGAGAGGGGAAGTTATCACAAAATAGCCAAGGCCTCTTTCTAGGTTATCCTTTTATTAAGAACCTAATGAAATCATGATTTGGTCCTGTTCACACAGGCTGGACCAAACAGCGTTAGAGTAAAGTTGGCCTCAATAGTGTTTAACCACAATTGCTAAATTAGTCTGTTCCTAGTTACAGCTGGGGCCATAGAAAGCAATAATGTGAAAAAAAATCTAGGGGAGAGAAAGGATGAGGGATGTCAGATTAGAGGCTCGCAGTATGCTGAAACTACAAGAAACAAAAAGCAAAAGCAGCTTTCCTGGGATGTGTTAATAAGGATTTTATATGTAATGACTGAGGTAACAATCCCACTTTGGTGAAGCCATGGTTAGTATTGTATACAACTAAGATCTCTTCATTACAGATAACACTGATACGGTGCAGGCAATGCAAAGGAGACCAAAGATGCTAGAGATTTTAGCAAGTATGATTTACAGGTGAAAATAGGTTAACAAAACACCCAGAGAAAAAGGTAGCTATGGCAACCATCTACAAATACTAAACAGAAGGAAAAATATTTAAACATTAAGAAAGAATTTTAATAGATGGAATATACTTGTCAAGCCATGTTCTAATTAAAGGGGAAGCAGACACAACCCAGTTTGTTACTCCTCCCTCTAGATACTGTCTGGATAACCTCTGAGAGGAATGACTCAGACCTCTTTAAAATACATTTCAGAAGAACAATTTTTTTTCAATTTGGCATGCACCAGATTCCACCCAATTGCAGGCATCAAAAAAATGGCCTTGGAAAGACTATCCCAGCCCATCAGATGCTTTACCTATTCTCCTGCAAAATTATTCCATAATGTTCCCATTTAAATTAGATGGGTACTGTTAAAGCCAGAATCCCGGATTAGGCCAGAGTAACGGACTACATCTCCCAGAAACTTTTTAACCTTCACTGTCTAATGAAAGGCATCCAGTTCCCTTAAGAATCCTAAATATTAGATCAAAACATCTCACCAAGTCTTCACGCTGCACAAAATGTTTCAAACGACACTCATGCTAGCATGTATGGCTGGGGTAATACACACATCACTTAGTGAAAAGCAAGGTAATCAAGGCAAGGAGGGGGAGTGAAAGAGCATACTGTCAATGAACAATTTGGAACAAAAAGGTGAACACAGTTATGTTTGTTCACTGTTTATATCCACAAGCTTTAAATTATTCTGTATCTTTAGATTAAAGTCCTAATGTAAAACACTTAGTTAACCACACTGAAACACATACCGATTCCCAATTTCCTCCTTATGCTTTAACAAGGCTTGATTTGCCATTTCTGGTGCTGCAAACTGCACAAAAGCTTCTCCTGTTTTCCTTCTTCCTCTCTGATCCATGACAAAAGTCATCTCAACTATATCCAAACCTTTGGGGGGGGGAAAAACATTTTTTTATATGAGCTGTAGCATATGCATTTTTCCTTCTCTTGTTTTAAAAAGATGAAAACTTACCTACTTCTGAACTAACAAGCTGCCCTGAATAGAACTGATCAAGTACTGAACGTTTTGGATTTTTTTAAAACTTATTCCTTTTCTACCTTTTCCTTGATTTGTACATAAAGTTTACTTTTATATGAGCTTTACTCTCTGAAATGTTTGTCTGCCTGAGTTTTCAAAGGGAAAATAAGTGATTACTACAAGATTTCAGTTCTCTACATTCTTCTATTGGGGGTTGTTTTTTTGTTTAAGGACAGAGGACCTAAAGCACATGAACAAGTTCTCCCTACTCAACAGCTGGCAGGTGCTCATTTTGTCAGACTTATTCTCAATTTCTACCAGCCCACACAGAAGTCAGGGGAAGTATTCAACCATACTTAAATGATTAATTATTTTTCCCCTGTGCAATCCTTCCTGCCACACTTTAGAGAAGCCAGAGATATAATCATGATGTTTGATATACCCTAGAGCTTCTAAACCTCTATGCTAACTCTAAACCAAGGCTTGAAATGGACCAGGCTGGGCTGAGTTGTTCAACTGATTTTTTCCTGGAGGGCTGTCATCTTGTTCTCCATCATATTTGTTAGTAAGTACCTATCTAGCTGTTATGACTTTAAACACAGTCTGTTCACGTTTTGAAGGCGACACAGCAACATCTGCCTGAGTTTGCAGACAGCCTGAAACAGTGGCTTTGATGAATTTGACAGTTCACATTTCTCTCAGTCATGTGTTAACTAGTGAGGATCATTTAAATATCAACATTAACTATTTCAATGCTCAAACTACATAGGAAAGGAGTGATCACATTATGAAGAGGTGCACAATATACCGTCGGTGATATTTCATTTTGACACCATTTTATCTATTATGTGCCTTAACTTTTTCATCTTATTTTCATCCTAATCTTGGCTACACAAAGTGGAAGCCAATCCTGCAGAGCCCAGAAGGGAAGCAAACTCTCTCCCCAATCAGCGTGGGCCACCCCTCAGCAACAGGATTCTGTTCTGCTTTGATGGTGCGCATGCATCCCAAGTCTTAATGGGTGCTGCTCCTCCCTCTTCTAGGAGCTGTCGGCAGAATTTGTAATTGCTGCACTATTGCCTTCTGAGGATGCCAGAGCAGCAGATGTGCAGTTGCTGTGTATGTGTGTGTTAATATTGTAGGTGACCTAGTGACCGAGAGACTGTGTAAATATAGTAGGGCTAGTGAAAGGTTTATTATACACCTATATTGGTTTAATTCAGCGAGGGCACATCCCAGCAGACACTGGAAAGACAGTAGCAAAGATATTGACTTCAAGGATACTTTATTTTGTTTCCTACAGAGCTGCAAGGCTTGTTTTACCAGGGCTGGGCGCTAAAAGATCAAAGGGTTAAAAACTGTTAAAAATGACTTACCAGCTGTGAAGAAGGGTGATCAAAAGACTGAGCAGGATGACACACTGCCTGAAGTAAAGGGGGGAACTGGTTTGTGAGTTAAGGGCAGAGAGTGTCATGTAGGGGTGTTATGCAGGAAGCTTAGACCTGCCAGTGTTCCCATGCAGAAGGCTGACAGACAAGTGTACAGTCAGTTTATTGTTTTAAGATCTTTTTCTCTGAAATGCTTCTGATTTCCTATTCTCTGCCTGCGGCACACAGTGGTGTAGTCTCTTGTGGGATATAACATTTTGGTCTAATTTTGGTTGCTGGGTTTAGCATGTGGATGCTGGTGGCCTGTGATATACAGGAGATCAGATTAGATCATCTAATAATCTCCTCTGGCCTTAAACTCCATGAACCAGTTTGCTTTAAGAAGGCTGCCTAGTCACTGGATACCACTGGTCACAGCCCTTGGAGGGAAGAGGGCAGCAGGTTCTGAATTTAAATTGGACCTGCTCAGTTAATCATGGTTAGTACCAGGGGACTGCAGCCAAAGGCTCGGTGTGAGAGTGGGAAAACTGCGTGATGCCACCACACCTGAGAATGTGTGCAGTCAGACCAGAAGGGGTCAGAGGTGCAGTTAGCCCAGTAATTGTGAGAGCCATAAGTATCAACATGTCCTGCAGACAGCAGGAGAAGACGACATCACCATATTGCACTTGAGAATTTCTACAACTCAAATTTACATCAGCTAAGCAGAAGATATTATTTAGAAGATATTAGCTGAAAAGAAAAAAGTCTTAAGTCACCTGCAAAGAACTCTGAAATGTCTGCTTCAGTACAACTGTAAGGAAGGCCTCTGAGGCGTACAACTCCATCATTAACTGCAGGGGATGAACTGGACTGCAGACTCTTCAATATGGCATCTACATCTTCATTATGTATTTCAAAAACTGCAAAGAATACAAGACAAGACTAGACTGTATATTTTCCTTTGCACCCCAACCTCTGCAAAGTCACCCTGAAGAAAGAAAGAGTCTCTTCTTGGTTTTGGGCTGAAGCAATAGGATTCTTTCAACTTTAACTGTAGTTTTCACTTGGGTTTCCCGAGAAGTTTAAAAAACTTTTACAATGGGGGGAGGGATTGGCCTGCTAAACCCAGGGTTGCGAGTTCAATCCTTGAGGGGGCCATTTAGGGGGTTCTGGGGCAAAATTGGGGATTGGTCCTGCTTTGAGCAGGGGGTTGGACTAGATGATCTCCTGAGGTCCCTTCCAACTCTGATATTTTATGAATCTATGAAACTTATGTAACGGGGAAAGGAATCCCCTTCAAACCTGCAAGCCACACAGCAACCGACAGATCCTGTAGTGTGGGAATGGGGGTGGCTGAATCGGGGCACAGGGACAGATGAAGACAGGAGCAGCTATACCTGGCTGAGTGAAGGTGCAGGGCTACATGAGAACGTGTGCAGATATGCCTGGTTGAATGGGGAGTGGCGATGCAGGGACACATGGGGTGGGGGCAGATGTGCCTGGCTGAATGGGAGAAGCGGAGGGTCAGCATGGGGGAGGTTCACCAACTCCTTAACAATCCCTCCTCTGCTCTAAAAAACCCAAAACCCAGTTCCATACTTCTCCCACCCACACTTCAGGTTCATTCCCAAGCTTCTTCCCAGCAATTACTTCCATCTCCTTTGGCTCCCCTGTCACCCCGACTCCCCCAAGCCTTTGCATTGTTTCTGAGGGGTGCAGGAAATATGTTTCTGTATGCTAGTTTAAATGAATTACTCAGCATTCTGTATTAATATGCCTAGTAACAAATCTATTGGTCAGAAAACATTTCCTGAGTCTTTTTTTTTGTAGTCTATTGTTACAGACATGCTTGCTGACAGGTATTTTGAAATAAATTACCAAAATAATTGAAACTGGCGTGATTATAGTGGGTTTTTTTGACAAATAAAATATGTAGAATTTTGCAGTGTTTTAAAATATTGTGCGCAGAACTGTTGGTGCAGAATTCCCTGGGAATACATAATGCCCTGCAGCCGTATGAATGTCGTGATGCACAGCCTCCCTTATCAAGAGGGGAGACTGTGATGCATCATGAAAGATGGAGTCCAACCAGGAATCCCAGCCTATAGCGGAAGATGGGAGCATGAGATACCCAGGTTGTGGAGGCATTTCAAAAATGAAATGTTTTTATTTTTGGACAAAGTATCTCAGGTTTTGATTTTTTGTGGACAATTTTGATAAAAACAAAGTGTTCTTTGTTGATATTTTCAATGGGAAAAGAATACGTTTTCCAAACAGCTCTATTGGAAGAACGACAGGAGGAGAAAAGGTTGAAGTATGTAAATCCATTTCAGAGAAATGACAAGCAAAAAAAGGTAAGGAAATTCTTGGAGACTAAACCATGACTTTTCAATCCCCTTCTCTCCAAAGCTCTTTGTATTATTTGCCTAACCTTCTTCATAAAATGGAATCATGGGATAAGACATGGTATTTGAGCTTTTGAAGGGATTCATTTGGTTTTGGTGAAGTTTGGGAGCAGAGAGGGAAAGCATATATGAAAATAAAGTTCAAAACAGGAAGCTAGCTTTAACTCTAGTTACCCTCCAGGCCCTCTTTAGAATTAAGAGTTGTTAAAAAAAAACAACAACAACACTGAACAATGCCTAAAGGTTTTTGCTTATAGGTACTAAATAGTAAAACTGTGTATGCTGACACTGATTGATATACAACAATCTTCACAACCACAATCACATTTCTTGTAGTTACTGTTTCAGTCCTTTTAACTTCTACAACACTTTTCCCTCTGTTTCCCACACAGTATATAACTTCAGTTTTGTTCCGAAATATTCTGCGCTTGTTTTAATATATGTAGGTTATCTTCAAAACAGATGGATTACACGTACCTTCCACGTACCGCTGACCCATATATTCCCGGTGCTTTTCTAAGGCATTTTGCACATCCTGTTCTGACTCTAGTTCAATCAAAGCATCTCCTCTGCGTTTGCCATCCCTGTTTAAAAGGAAGTGTATCCCACGCTCTCCATTTCGAATCCTGCAGTCTAGAAAGTTACACACAAAAGACATGGTTAAAGAAACAACACAGTATTGATTTATTGTGTTTCTTCCTTACCATAATCTGCTGGTCCAATCGAAACTGAACATTCTGATCCTATATAAAATTTCACCCAAGCAGCACACTACAGTATATCAAACACAGGACAGTAAATGCCATACAGATGCCATTATCTATCTATAGATAGAGATATCTCCATATACACACAACTAGGATCATACATTGCCTTAATTTCGACTGGTTATCAATTTAAGGCCTTGATCATACAATCTGTTCTAAACAGGTGGATATTTATACCCACATGGAGGGCCACAGAAGTCAGCAGAGCTCTGCACGGATGCAAGGATCTACCCACTTGGATCAGATTGTAGCATCAAGGCCTTACCTGCTTGGCAAATTTTTATTTTTTGAGTTTGTAATTCAAATAATGAGTATTTTAAAATATAACTTTAAAAATAAAGTTAAATGATTTATTTGTACAAGAGCTGTCAATTAAGCAGAGTTTTACAGTGTTTTATTTATGAGTGCAGGGTTCTTTTGTACATAATTCTACATTTGTAAGTTCAACTTTCATGATAAAGAGATTGCACTACAGTACTTGTATTAGGTGAATTGAAAAATACTATTTGTTTTTTTACAGTGCAAATATTTGTAATAAAAAAATAAAGTGAGCACTGTACACTTTGTATTCTGTTAAAATTGAAATCAATATTTGAAAAATGTAAAAAATCCAAAAATATTTAAATAAATGGTATTCTATTATTGTTAAACAGTGTAATTAATCAGGATTAATTTTTTTAATCACAATTAATTATTTTAATCGCTTAACAGCCCTAATTTGTACCCTTATGAGACAGAGAGAGACTGAACACAGAATAAATAGCTCCACCATATCAAATACTTATAAAAATGGAACTGAACGGTAAACATAGGATTTAAGTTTTAGGTTCAATCATTAATATTTAAAAACACATTCAACCACATCACATCTCTGTATAAGACCAGATATTATACCAGCGAAAAAACTAAGCACATCTTCAACAGTGCAAGAGTATGGCAATCCTTGGGCTCGGATAAGAAACACATCATCTTCCTCTCCAGTCTTGGATGGAATTGGTTCATACTCTGAGAGTGGAGGATACTCATCTTGAAATGAGGAACTCAAGTCCTTTGAAAAAGGAAAACAGTATTATTTTTAAGAACAACAGCTGCTCAACTACTTGTTTCAGTGATCATTCCCTTCTGTGTTACAACTATTAAATGAATATTGTGCAGGCTCTCACCAGCAGTTCAGAGAAGTAAACAGAGATAAAAACAGTCTATTAGATTACCCAGTCAAACTGTAGGATTGCTCCTTATACAGATTTTTTCAGTCCCAGGAGTAGTAAATGACTTAAACAAAAAGAACTATTTCTTAAAAAGTCTGCTTTTCAGGGTCTCCACCACAGATAATGCCTAATGACTGAGAGGTGCCTGAAATCTTTGGAAGAAAAGGGAAAACTACTCAGATTATTTTGTTACAAACTCAAACACAGACCCAGTTTCTGTGAAAAATTCACCATGTTTTACTTTTTCTAAAGCTGAAACATAGGATTGAAAAGTCCACACACTCCTCACCGAGAGCATGGAAGGAACAGTGAAATAAATGAGCTGAGCAAGTAATGAGAAACTTAATTTTAGGGACCCTGAGCCAGTTGCCTAATGGCAACAGGATACACAAGACCTTCCTCTGAAAACTATTTTATGCTATGCTACAAGTCTAGCAGATTTGGGCAATTAATCATTTTTAAAAAAAGTTTCTTACACAAATCTCAGCATTCAAGAAATTAGACACAATACAGGGGAAAAAAACCCTGTATACAATAGTTCACAGTCATTTTACAGAATGATAGCATTCTTAGAGAAGTTACTTATACAAAAAAGTCTGTGGCTTCTAATTTGCTATCTTGACAAGAGACTGGGTATTTAACATCTCAGATAATGTCCTCCCCTCCTAGGCACGATGGAGAAGGCAACAGAGGTGACCTTCAACGCTGGGTAAGGGAGTTCTCCCAAGGGTGACAAGAATTTCTTCTTAACCCTGTAAGGGCTCCAATAAATGGCTTTTCCACTGACCTCCTAGGTATAAACAGACACAGTGGCCAATAAAGATTGGGTGCTACCCACAGGAACATGAGGAGGAAAAAACAGCCCCTCTCCCCCCTGGAAAGTCTTATATCACTCAGAGTGGGTGCCAGGGAGGAGATAGCGAGCCCAGGTAGTGACCCTAGGAAAGGGGGAGTTGATGGAAAAGGGAGTGACCCCCCCCCAGAGGCTAGAGATGGGCGCCCCCCTACAGACTGAAGAAAAGGGAGCAGATTTCGGGGGACAGGGGCAGAGAATTCCTGCAGAAATCTGGGGGGGGGGGGCAGGGGTAGTCAGGGGAGGATGAAGCAACACCCACAAGATCCCCCAGAGATCGAGGGAGGAGTTACGCCCCCCTTCAGGGTCCCCCAGAAAGTTGAAGGCGGGATGTCAACCAGGGGGCCCTTTGGGAACCCCCCCAAGAAACGGGGAGCAGCGACCCCTAGGGTGGGGTGGAGGTTCCCCAGGGAAGGGGGTGCGGGCCGAGGGCCTACGCCCCCCATACGGCCGGCGGGGGGGATGGTACCTGGCCGTAGCTCCGCCCCGGGTGGGCCGGGTGCAGCAGCGGGCCCCGCAAGGCCCCGAACCCGGGCCCGGCCGGGCTGGGCAGGCTGCCGGCGGCCACCGCCACTTGCAGGCCCCGGCTCTGCGCGGCCGCCGCCCCCAGCAGCAGCAGGAGCCGGCGGCGGCCGGAGAGGCCGGACAGGCCGGCGGCGGCGGAGGCAGCGGGGCGCAGGGGCAGGCAGGCCGCCCCGGTGCGCTGGCAGCTGCTGCAGCTACAGCCGCAGCCCCGGAGCAGCGCGCCCAGCACCCAGCGCGTCCCGGCCATGGGCGGCGGCGGCAGCGAGGCGAGGCGGCGGCGGGGGCGGAGCGGGCCCGGCACATGCGCTGCGGCGGGGACACCAGGTGGCCCGGGGCGGGCGGCTCCGCCTCCCCTTCCCAGGAGGCCCTGGCGCGGTGGTGGGGCTGGCCCCGAGCTGGTTGCCATGGCGAGTGGGGGCCCGGCCCAGCCTGGACTGGGCGCTTCGCGCCTCCCGCCGCCCCCTCCCGCGGGCGGGCTAGGTTTAGCCCCTGCGGTGGTACCGGGGTGAGCCCTGGGCTACACGGGGGGTGTCGTGTCCGGTGACTCCCTGTGTGGACGCTCCGAGCCCGGAAGAAGAGAGACTCTTCCCCCCTCCCCCAGGTCGCTGAAACCCCTGGCGAAAAGACCTCGGCTAGACCGAACCTAGACAGGGGTTAGGGCTTGTCTGCACCTAGTCCGGAGCAGCGGCTCCCCGTGACCGTGTGGATGCTCCACCCCGAATAAGGGAGCCTGGTCGCCCTTTAGCTTAGTGCGCTTTGATCCAGGGAGGCCGTGTTGCCTTCAATCCTTGAGGGGGACATTTGGGATCTGGGGCAAAAATTGGTGATTGGTCCTGCTTTGAGCAGGGGGTTGGACTAGATGACCTCCTGAGGTCCCTTCCAACCCTGAGATTCTGTGATTCTGTGACTGGGCGCTTCGCGCCTCCCCGCCCCCCTCCCGCGGGTGGGCTAGGTTTAGCCCCTGCGGTGGTACCGGGGTGAGCCCTGGGCTACGCGGGGGGTGTCGTGTCCGGTGACTCCCTGTGTGGACGCTCCGAGCCCGGAAGAAGAGAGACTCTTCCCCCCTCCCCCAGGTCGCTGAAACCCCTGGCGAAAAGACCTCGGCTAGACCGAACCTAGACAGGGGTTAGGGCTTGTCTGCACCTAGTCCGGAGCAGCGGCTCCCCGTGACCGTGTGGATGCTCCACCCCGAATAAGGGAGCCTGGTCGCCCTTTAGCTTAGTGCGCTTTGATCCAGGGAGGCCGTGTTGCCTCGTGGCTGGAGCACTGGGCGAGACTCAGGACACCTGGGTGCTGTCCCCGGATAATCCACGGGCCTGCCGGGTGACCTTGGGCAAGGGGCTTCACCTCTCTGTGGCTCAGTGTAACAACAGTCACCTCCTTTGTAAAGCACATTGAAGTCGACTGATGAAAAGTGCTACATAAGAGCGAGGTGGTGTTGTAATAACTAATATATCCATCTTGCGGGTGAGTAAACTGAGGCTCGGTGTGCTTGGCAAACTTTTCAAGGCTCAAACAGTGAGTCTAGCGGAGGTGGGAAAAGAACCCATGAATCTGGACTCCCACGTCCCTGCCTTAATCATTTAACCATGTTGTCATCTCCCATTTTCCCTTCTAAACATGTTTCTCATTTTGAAAAGCTTGGTCACTAAGGAGAAAGAAATTATGTAACTAACAGGCTGAAGGCTGCAGGAAAAAGATGAATTGTCTCAAATGAATAAGGCCTGACTAGGAAATTAGTCAGAGGTGTGAAAAATCGACACTCCTGGCAACGCGGTTAAACAGACCGAACCCCCCGGTGTAGACAGCAATAGGTCGACAGGAGAATTCTCCTCCTCTCAGAGAGGTAGAATACCTATGCTGACAGGAAGAGCCCTTTCATCAGTGCGGGTAGTGTCTTCAATGAAGTGTAACAGTAGTGCAGCTACAGTGCTGTAGCATTATAAGTGTTACTCCTGAGGGCATTCTGTGCCAAAAAATTATAAATTCTGCACACAGTATTTTAAAATTCTGCACATTTTATTTGTCATATAAATGTGGAGGCTCCAGCATGGCACTGCGGAGCACAGGCCGCTGGCTGCCCAGAGGTGGGAGATCATTGTGCAGCTCCCCCGTGGGACATGGACTCAGTGGTGAGGCTGCACCCAACCCGGACACAGCGCAAGGATTGGGCCTGCCCCAGAAACACCCACCGCCTTGCCCCTTCATGCCAGCTGTACCAGGTGTGGGCAGGCAGGCTCAGTAATGCAGGATCCAAGTGTGGAGGGGCTTAGCGTGGGGGGATCCAGGTGTGGTTTCAGAGGGTTCTGTATGGGGCAATCTGGGTGCGGGTGGCTCAGTGGGGGATCTGGGTGTGGGGGGGATCTGGATGCACAGGGGCTTGTTGGGGGGGTCTGGGTGCAGTGGTAATGGGACTCTGCAGGGGGGTCCAGATGAAGGTGGTTGGGGCTCAGTGGGGGAAGTCTGGGTTTGGGGGGGATAGAGCTCTGCAGGGGGGTCAGGGTGTGGGGAGTTTAGTGGGGGGTCCAGATGCAGGGGGAGTGGGGCTCAGTGGGATGGGGATCCAGGTGCAGCTGGTTGGGGCTTGGTAGGGTGGGAATCCGGGTATGGTGGCTTGTTGGGGTGGTCCAGGTGCAGGGGGAGTGAGGCTTGTCAGGGGGGTTCTGGGTGCAGAGGGAGTGGGGCTCGGCAGGATGGTCTGGTTATGAAGGGTCTGGATGCATGGGGGTTGGGCAGATAGGGGAGCAGCAACCTGTATAGTGATCTCTCGCAGCTGAAGTGTGCGGGGGAGAAATCTGGGGGTGGGTCTGACACAGCCCCAGCTGCCATGCAGGGGAAGAGGAAGTCCCATCCTTCCCAGCCCAGCCGGGTTTTCCCCAGTCCTGCCCCCGCCCCACAGTGATTTACCTCTCTGTCGGCTGCCCTGGGCACACAAAACATATTGCTGGGGAGGGTCTTATGACCACTCTCGTGACTTCCCTTTGCTTCCCCATCAAAAAGCCATTTTTCTGCAAGGAAGCAAAGAAATCTGTGAGGGACATAAATTCTGTGCATGTGCAGTGGCACAGAATTCCCCCAGGAGTAAAGTGTAAACAAGCTCTAAGATACATGTGTCCTGTATCCCATGTGTCCCATTGGGTTGATAAATGGGTATCTCAGGGCCCATTACGGTTAAGATGTAAACAAAGGCTTCTTCGGTTACAATATTAAACAGTGAAGTGGGGTTCAGGGTTTCATGTTGAGTTATTGTAGGCTTACTCCCATTGTAATAACCACCATTGCAATCTTTTCAACTTTTTATTAAAAAAAACAGCGAAGAAGAAGGATAAACAGTTAAAGTATTTGAAATGTTAAGGTTTTTTTTAATTTTATTTATTCCTTATGCCCTTTCCCTTAAAGGAGTACATAGGGAAACCCACCACCACCACTATGCTTGAGAAGTACTAGTGGCACCTTAGAGACTAACCAATTTATTTGAGCATAAGCTTTCGTGAGCTACAGCTCACTTCATCGGATGCATTCAGTGGAAAAGTGAGCTGTAGCTCATGAAAGCTTATGCTTAAATAAATTGGTTAGTCTCTATGGTGCCACTAGTACGGCTTTTCTTTTTGCGAATACAGACTAACACGGCTGCTACTCTGAAACCTGTCACTATGCTTGAGAGTCTTTTACAGGGTATTAATTGGTATTAAAGACAGTCCTAACTGTCCTGACTTTTTTTGGGGGGGGGAGGGAAGGGGGGTTACTTTAGATGGCATAGAACTGCTGTTGTTCCTTTAAGACAAGACAAGCATACAATGTCTCTGGTACTGACTTTCACTTACATCCTCACTGCTGGAGTAATACAGGCCCAGCATGCTGTCTGATCAGCCACTGTGTGACCTGGCACTGTGCTATTCAAGGCATTGCCAGCCTTTCTGGTCACAGACTCATAGCAGTGTTGAAAAAGGTGGAGTTATCTTGGCCAAATAAGTCAAATTCTTATCAGTAAGAGGCAAAAAGAAATAATGCAGAAAAGAAAAAAGGTAGGAAAGGAAAATGACACATGAGGGAGGACGTGACAGCAGGAGCCTAAGGCTCACATGCAAGATTGTCAGGATTTAGCCAAAGCTGGTGATGTTCTCTGGTTTTCCATCTCTCTGACCTGCTCCGGTAAGGATTCTTTCAGAATTGGAACAGTGAAGACCCACCCTGTCATGGTGGATCCCAGGCTTCCGGGAGATGGTGGGGATATTGGCAGCCATGATGGTGAAGCTCACTCCTTTCAGTCTCACATTCCACTGGTCCTATCTAGTGCAACCCCAGATAAAGCAATGTCAAAGAAGGGGAGGTGACCTCTCCCATTAAAATTAACCAATCAAAACATTTTGGTGATTTAAACTGTAAACACATTCTCCCATTTCTAGAATCAGCTTGTTCTGCCAATGCATGACTTTACCAGGAGCCTTGAAGGCCTCTTATCGCCATTCTTTGAAAATAAACAACCCATTTTGTACCAATCTGTTTCTCTCCTAATTTTTACTCATATTTATAAACAATTTTATGTAATAGGATGAGTTGGACTTTTGTTACCTTGGACAATTTAGAGCACAAGCCTTTGCACAACAGTCCTCTCCAATTTATTGGATTTTGGACACAATAAGTCACATATGTGGATTTGCAAAGGGGCTTCAGCCCAGCTTTTAAAGCTGAGCCTGTTGTTTTTAATGTTCAAGTTTTTTGCATATGCCAAACCTGAGATTTGCATTCATAACATGTATTTCAATATGCAGACCCAAGATTTGCATATACAAAAACTTGAGTGCAGAAACTTTGCAGGTACAATTTTAGAAGCTGCTTTTGACAGTTTGGCCTATAACATAAATCAGCTTCCAGGCCAAACAGCTTTTCACTGCGTAACCAGATCATTGAGCCTCACTGACTATGGCAGTGCTACATAGATCTTATTTTCATATAGATAAATTGTTCCTGAATATTTCTCAACTGAGCAGAGCACAAGCAGGATTCCTGTCAACAATAGATGCATGCACATCTGTTTTCACTTATCTTGCCTTCAACGTATCTGTTCCTCCACTGATGGGAAGAATATCTATGTGGGTAGTATCCCATTCCAGAACCCGTCTTGCAGTTTTCAGAGTGTCTGCAAGATTACCTTTAGGAGGCAACAGTTTGTTGGCAAAACAGCCTATAAGCAATATATGACAATGATTGCACATGTATTATGGCTTAATATGACACTGATATCTTCCAGGCATCACTGTG